CGCACTGGCGAATCCCGCAATTGATTCACTGCGATTTTAAACCCCCAAGGCTTGCAAGGCGAGAATAAGAAGGTTTACGACCAATATGACCGGGGGAAGATACGCATGATTATGGATCCTTCACTGCAATATCAGCCCCTTCCATGGCCATGAATATAGCGCGATGCTAAATTAATCTCAGTCTCTCGATCTAGTGCTCAGGCGAGTTACTCAGGCGACCAGTTGGATTCAAGCGTTTCTTCACTGCACTGTTGAACCCTCCCAGGAGAAAACTCGTAAGCCGGCGAACTGGACACAACTTACGCCGCTCACCTGCATTGCTCATCCCAAAAGAAGCAGCTAACGTGGAGAAATCGGACGATCCGACGGGCATAACGACTTCACTGCGATTCTAACTCACTCTGAGGGGGATTAGACAGACATGGAACAGGTGGAGACAAAGTCAACCGCACCCCGGCAACTTCCGTCCGTGACTGACGCACGGACCATCGAAATTCCAACGCCAGCTTAATGATTTTTGGATCCCTCCATCGCATCACCAAGGAGCTCTCGAGTATTGGGTCGGTCCCTGAAATACCACGACGTCGCGACACAAAGACTGCTTTAGCAGAAGCTCAATTGTACGTTGCATATCCTGCTCGTCAAGCATGTCCAAGAGCTGTATGAACAGGCGCTGACATCAACCCTTCAACAGACGCAAGCGATCACCCATCCCTCATCGAACGAGCAACGAGCACACGACTCCCAACGCAAACCATCCAACACGCGCCCGTCGCATACCTCCTCCACGACTCAATCCTAATCCCACACGAACACGCCGCCCACAATGGCCTTCTTCCGCATCACCCTCCACCGCTCCGCCATCGGCCTCCCCAAAGCCACCCGCGGCGTCCTCGAAGCCCTCGGCCTCCGCCGCCGCTCCCACACCGTCTTCCACCCCGTCAGCCCCCAGTTCGCCGGTATGATTATGAAGGTCAAGGAGCTCGTCAAGGTCGAGGAGGTCGACCGCGCCATGACCCAGCCTGAGATGCGCGACCTGCGGAGGCCGGATCCGGGCTTCTATGTCGAGAAGGCTGTTGCGCGGTAGAAGAAATGTGCTGGAGGAAGCAGGCGAATAGAGGGATGGATCGAGGTTTTAGAGGGGTTCAAAAATGAAAGGATAGGAGGGCGAAGAGAGGAGATGTGTTGGGGGCATGAGAGGAGGTCCCCCGGGGCATGAGAGGGCTTGTGAGCAGCAGTTCGGGCGCAGCAGAGGCCAAATCGTGTATCATCACCACGGAGAAAACTGTACAAAATCATGGCGGGCTGTACAACAACAAAGGCAGACGAGGATGTCTGCGTCAAGTCATTTGGAATCAAACAAAAGTTCACTCAACAGATACCGGTGATTCTGGTTCTTCGTTTTCAAAGGCATGATCCGCCAGTCATATGAACAACGGCCTGCCTATTTTCTGAAATTGCAAAGAAAAAGTCACACAAGGCACACAATGAACCGGATTCGGTTACCTGGCTCTCAAGAAGCCAAGGTTTCTGGAAAGGGGTGGTTTTGCAAATGGAAATCAATGATTATTATCTGTCTCAACTCTCATACCGGTTGAGTATGCCTGATACTAGCAGGCAATACAAAGATGCTGGATGTCCATTTCCCACACCCCCAACTCAACCCCTCACCAAGTCTGCGCGACCAGGTGCTGGGATTCCAATAACGCGAAAAAAAAGAATCAAGATAAAACGTCAAACTGTCTGCCGTCAGGTCGGCTAACCGTTTGACTTAGGATGCAAGCTAAGGTCTGGCCGCCTAGAAACTCCGAGCCTTGTCGATGTACTCCTGAGAGGGGGTTTCGTACTCGCTCACAAAGTAGTTCTTTGCGTTTTTGCCGAGCCAGACGGTGAGCTTGGAGAGTTCCTCACGCAGACGCGCCACGGATTGCTGGTCCATGTTTGTCTGAGCAACGAGCTCGGGAAGAGACACTATATTGCATTAGTACCGAGCCAGACCGAGTGTCTCGAATGGACTTACCCATCAGGCGGCACAAGTGTTCAGGTCCATAGGTATCGCAGACCGACTTGTGCTTGTCTTCCTCGCTAGCCTTCTCCCACACCTTGCGAATCTCGTGGTACTGAGGGCGCTCAAAGCTGAGAAGAGATCAGTAGAGTTCGAGATGTCAAGTCCAGGCAGAAAACTAACCGGTACAAGAGGATCCGGCTCAGAGACTTCTCAAAGTACTCGCGAAGTCCGGCGACAACTTCTTCAAGAATGTCCATGTTTGCAGAACCATCTTCCCTGTTGGGACGCTCGTAGTTGAGGTAATCACTTAGAATATCGTCAACGGGGTGAGGGTGGGGAAGCGGGACAAGCTGGTTGTTCTTGGTGATGTTCTCCCAGTCGTCAACAAGCATGGCCTTGATATGGTCAGGGATAGGAAGCTTGATGGACGGGCGTGCATGAAATCCATCCTCCTGGTTGTGCGATATTAGTAATTGTGTAGACCAGTAGGCATGACGCAACAGGAAAATAAACAGAAACAAAAAAAAACGTCAAAGCCAATGGGCTATTGGACTAATGATGGTTGCTCCCGATGGTAGTCCTCCTCAATACGCAAATGCGGAAGCCTCCCACTGGGGCAAACGCTGCGTTTGTGTAAACTCACAGTCGGAAGCTCTTCCTCGCTTGGTTCTAAAGAGCGGGCAGACGATGACTTCGTCCGGGCAGGCTGTTCTCGCTTGAGAGTTGTGACGCTGATATCGTAGCGATTGTCATAGTTGGGCTTGCCGTCTTTTGTGACATAGAGCCTGGCTCGGGGAGCAGGCGAGGCGGCCAGATTATCCGCCCTCAGCAAGCGCGGCTCCTTCCAAATCGCTGTATTATCGTGATGAGGTCGCTGACGCAATGATTCGGCCCGCCGAAATTTGCGAGACGAAATAGCCATGACGAATGTGAAGAGTGTGCAAGGAGTCCGGGCAGGGCTTGAAGAGAAGGCTGCAGTGATTTTGCGAGGGTCGAATTGCCCACTTGCTTGAGGATGAGTCTGAGAGAATTGGGACAAGCAAAGCTGTGAAAGAGAAGCTGGTGTTCGGAAATGGTCCGAAAAAGAAAGGGCGGGAATTCGTGATGGGAGTTCGGAGACATCGTTTCTGCTGCGGGAAGGAGCAGTCTGGGTCCGCTCCTGCCAGATAGGCGGAACCAACAGCACGGCGTTTCTGATGCTGGTGTGTTGGGCTAAGCGCGGCCTACTGCTACCTGTGTCGAACGTGACAACTGAACTCGGAGAGTACCTCAACGCTGCTTTCACGCTTCCTCTTCTTTGTGCCGCAGGGCCTCTGCGAAACCTCTTCGACGACATCCTCGGCATCTTGAAAGTTTCGTAGGTTATGCTGGTTCTCGATGCTGTTCAGCACGGACCGCTTCCCAAGGAACTCTAAGCTGGAGTCGCTGGTTATGCTGGTCCCATCGTCGTCGCTGCCAGCGCTCTCATCGCTCTCATCACTAGATATGCAGATGATGCTGACAGATGCGGGGTCCACATCGCCATCGGGCTCTGAGGCTCGCTCGCTTGCTTGATCTTCGTCTTCCTCATCCTCGTCGTCGGCTTGATAGAATTCGTCTTCGGTTCCCTCGTACTCGTGGGAACACCGGTGAACCTTCTTGCGTTGCCGAAAGGATGCCTCGTTATAGTCATCAAAGTTATCGTCGTCAGAGATGTACTTCCGACGTCTGTTGGGTAGTAGAGCGATTTCCTCAATATCTTCACCATCGTCTGAGTAGACGCGACGCCTTTCGACTGGTGGAAAGCCATCATCCTCCTCTTCGTCGAGTTCGTCATCTCCGTAACGCGAATCTCTCAGTATGAAATCATCCTCCTCTTCGTCGACGTCGTCATCTCCGTAACGCGATTCTCTCAGTACGAAATCATCCTCCTCTTCGTCGTACTCGTCACACTCCTCTCCCGAGGAGTACAGGGGCAGAATCTCCTTAGAGTCACCATTCCCGTTGACGTCTCCGTCCGAATACATTCGACGCCTTTTGTGTTGCTGTTTGAAAGCCGCGTCTTCCTCTTCGTTGTCTGGCTCCGTTTGACGTCTCTTGCGTTGCTGATTGCGCAGGCTGAGCGGGGAGTCGTCTTCAGAGGCCGGGGCTGGTCTTTCGTAATCTTCATAGTCCAAGTCACTCGCGTAATTGATCTTGACTTCGCGATCTTCGCCTCGAACTGCCTCAACTTCTCGTCGACATTCACGCTCGATAGCATCCTCTGCTTGACCGACGGGGTTGTTGTGATGGTAATGGGCGAGTTGGCCGACGTAGTCTAGGCGAGACATGGACCCGCGCTGGGGCGGAGAGTAGTAGTTGGGCTGAGGTTCAGGATAGTGCGCAGCCTGCTGCGACAGAACCCAATTGTGGACCCGAACAAAATGATCCCAAGACGGGGAGCTCATCTTGTAGCGTGGGTAGTGGTAATAGTTGATGAAGTTTGTGATCGTGTATCCTGAAATGTTCGAGACAAGTTGGGATAATTGTTCGTCAAGTATGAATGCGCGAGGAGGGCGTTTTCGGTATACCGAGGAGAAGAGAAAATCGAACCAGCGATTTGTGAGGAGTAGCGTGGGATGTAGTAGAAATGTGAGGGATCGGAGAAGGGGATGGTATTGAGGGCAAGTTTGACCGGTGAAGACTTTTCGAGGCAGGAAAGTGAGGTTTTCTTTTCGGCAGGTGCTTCGATAGGCGGCAATTCACACCACGCTCTTGCCTTCTACCAGATGAATACTGGCCACCTGGCAGTGACGAGGCCGGGGGGTATTCGGTGACCAGCTTTTCTAATGGGCCCACATGGATGAGGGCATTCACCCCCCCTATCGTTTTCTTCCTCCTTCGCGTCTTTCGGACTTTGTGTCAAGCTCGCTTCACAACGAGCCTCTACTTTGAGGCCACCACAATGGAATACCGGAAGAAACCAACATTGAAACAGATACATAACAAAAAGCAGAACACAAAGAAACTCGGCTTTGGCACTCACCTGCTCGAGGTCAAAATCTCTTGCCCGTCGAGGGCCGCGGCCCGTGGCAGCAACACCTGCAGTTCGCTCCTCACTCCCACGAGCAGAGTCGGTCCCATTGACACGAAGATTGCCCTTCTTGGGGGGTTTGGCGCTGCTCTTCTGGCGTAGGTCCTTCATCTGGGCATGCAGCTGGCTAGCAAGCTCCTTATTCTCCTCTGTGAACTTGCGGATGCGATCGATAGAAACCCAGTCGTCCCAGGTGTTCTTCCAGCCCTTGTAGTGAATGCGATACTGAAATCCTTCGCCACTCTCGGCAGGCTGAATATCGAGAATCTTGGCCTCATACAGCATCTCACCGTGAAAACAGAGAACCTTCTCATCCTTGGAGAAGGGCTGGGGCGGTTGGCGTGCGGGCGCCATGATTGGATAGGACGGCTGTAGGTTGGCGTATCTACTGGATATGTCGCAAAGGTCCAGCAAAGAATATCGAGAGCAGGGTTCTGACGATAACCTGGATGTCGTTGAAGGGTTGATGGGCCAAAGGGGGCAGTGAGGTTAAATTCTCGGACAGTGCGCCAGATATTGATACACAGTCACCTCTAGAACTAGTTGGCGCAGGTTCGAGGCTTCCAGCACAGTACGAATCGTGATCACTCGTGGCACCTCGCTCAATCCGGATGACAGTGCTGATCAAGTCGCTAACACGGTATCAGGCTGGAGGACAGGTCAGTTTCCAGCCTAGATGAACAGCAATTATGAAAGGAGATGAAGTTCAATCTTACTGCAGTTCTTTTGGGTAATCAGCAGTCTTCCTCTTTGCTGACTTTGTCGTGGGTAGAGCCGTTTTTGTGAGGTGTAACCGTGATGGATGAGGTGAAGATGGCAAGGTGTGTCGATTCTTCCTACGGAGTGAAACGCGCTGCGGCTCATTAACGCGTCCCGCAAGAACTACCGCGTCTTCCATGCCTGCCCCAAGCCAAGCGCCACCCATCCCGCCTGCCATGTCTACCTTATTGTCCACCTACCTTACCTCACAGGCTCACAAATCTGACTTTCCATCCATCTCTACCCCATCCCCTGCTTTTTTGTTAAAGACTACGGATACTTTCTGCCAGATACATTGTCCCCAAAACCGGTTGCGACCTAAACGGCCAGTTCAGGCACCTCTCAGCATCCGACTTGCTAAACTCATTGCCTTCCCAGCCGCTCATCTGACAAGCGCAACCCATCATGGCGCCCACCGAAGCCGCCATCCTGCACAACTACCTGACTGTCCCGGCGCAACTACCTTCAGCCATCACGCTCGAAGAGTTTACCGAGCTTTTCCCCAAACCGCACCGCGCAAACCCGCAAATCCGCTCCTTGTACCGTGATCTGCAGCACCAAAGGAGGGCAATCGTTGACATGGTCACGGAGAACATTGAAAATGAGGAGAAGAACGGGAGGATCATCAAGCGCGAGATTGCGCGTGTCCGGAAACGTGCGAAAGCCGAGGATGCTGATCAGGAGCTTGAGATTGAGAGAGCGGTAAGTTCTGTGACCAGGTAGATATGCTCACGGCGTCTCTAATGTTACTACCAAGCTCTTTGGCGTGGCTGGGGCGCAAGATCCCAAACACACAATCAACTCCATCGTTCCAGAGATGGACACAGCGATAGCGGATCTCGAAGCAGAGATTCGGGAGCTAGAGGCTCAGGAAGCAAAACTCACAGAGTCGGTCAAACAGACAGTCGGTAGCATGAGCGATCTCCGGTACGGACGCCTCGCCAACCCCAAGCTCGGAGAGGACGTCATTCAAGGTCTCAAGAGTGTGCAAGATGCATGCGACGGAAAAAGTTGATCAACTAAAGATTACTAATTTGGCACTATATAATCCAAATGACCAGGGACCTCAGTTGCATCCTTGCAACTGCCCGGGTTTGTCTGGGTATTCAAAACTGTACCAATGTGCCCTCCAGCCTCTCTTCACCTGCCTACACATAGTCAACTTACACCCTTTACCGCGCAACACCACCAGCGGGGGCGGCAGCGGCAGGAGGAGCTCCACCGGCAGCAGCAGCGGCGCGGTTGTCAAAGGTGTTGCCCATACGGCGGTTCATCAGGGTACGGCTGCCAAAGGAGACGAGGATCATGAAAAGCCAGTTGGGAACAAGGTTGAAGGCCCAGAAGACGTAGCCGACGGGGACAGACAGGTTGTTCTTGGCGATCCAGCTGTTGAAGGGGTGGAAAATGTTCTCCGTCAGGATCCAGTCCTCCTTGGACTGCGCCTTCCACAGGTCGACAATGTCGTCCGAGGTGGTGGTGGTGACGTTCAAGCGCTTCCTGTAGACATCGACGTCGGCTCCAGGGGGCAACAGGCCGATGGACCAGATGGACGCGGTGCCGGCGGACCACGCGTTGCAGAGGACGGGCTGGGCGTCGCAGTCAAGGAGGCCCAGGTGAGGAGATTCGGGAAGCTTGGCGAACTTGATGGTAGACTCGTTAAAAGCAGTCTCGATCTTATCGCAATGGCCTGTACATAGGAATTAGCATCTCCTTCGTAGATAGCTCAATTGTGACGCGCGGTTGCGGAGCATACCGAAGCAGGTCTTGTTACGACCAGTGATCAGAACCCACCACTCCTCAGGGGTAGTGGCATCGGCCTTGACGGGCTCGTAGAGAACATCCTTCCAGTTCTCGACGGTCAAGACGGAGATCTTCTTATCGACGGCTGTCGCATCAGGCACGGCGGCCTCGGGGGTAGCCGCCTTCTCGGCGCTGGGCGCGGAGGCGCCAAAGGAGCTCAGGAAGTTCTGGAACTGTGCCTTGTACTGCTCAAAGGGCGACTCGGCCGCTGTCGCAAGCAGCGGGAGCGCAAGAAGGGTGGTGGCGGACACGCGCATGTCGATGATGGCTGTGTTGTGTGTGTGTGCGTGTGGTGAAAATGTCGCTTCGCGAAGAGAGAGAGAGAGAGAAAGGAGGTGATGTCGTGATCAACAGGCCAAGAGATGGTAGAGTGAGGGGAAGCGTGATTACAACGAGCAGGGCAGGAGGGAGGAAAATGCCGACAGCTACAACAAGGGACCAAGGAGGGACGATAAGTACGGGTTGGCGAGGATAAAGTATACAGGCAACCTGGATTCCGGCGCGAAGGTTGGGCACACGAGAAAAAGGACACAGAGTTCAGATGTGAGGGAAAAAAAAAAGTGGAAGAGGAGCGTACGGGTATGGATACGGGTGTGAAATCAGGCAGTTTAGAGAGGGACCCTTTTGGGACTCGGGGAGTGTGTGGCTTCTCCTGAACCTTGTCGTGCTTGTCCTCGTTGGTGATCCGGCTGGAACAAAGGAGCTTTGGTCGCCTGGGGGATCCAGAAGAGCCACTGAAACCCGCTGCCACCAGAAGCTCGGAAGCACGCACCACAGAACGAGAGAGAGGTTCTTCCTCCGCACGCGCTAACCGAGATAGGCCTGGCGCCTGCTGCTGGTTAGCGTCATTTCGGGTCGTCCAGGTGGAACGGCGGTCCGGGGTCCTCGCACCAGCCACGATTGGGTCCAATGTCTCGCGTTCACCAGCCACATGAGGTTGAAGCATCCGGTACGTACTGGCTATGTGGAGGGGGACGCGTCGAGAGCTCACATGCTGAAGAGTACCTTACTGACTGGAAGCTCGCATGCGCTTCAAGACAGCATCTGCCCTTGCGACATAATATTGTGAGCGCAAGATATCACAATGGTAAGTCTTTGAATTCTGATAATTCTGATCATTCCTTGAGTCCAGCTAACACAATAGCAGCCCCCCAAAGCCGCAGACCAGAAGCGAAAACGAGGTCGCCCCTCAAACGCGTCCAGATCGGCCGACGCGTCGCCAGGTTCTCCCGAAGCTGTAGAAACGGAAGAAGCAACGGCACCAGCGAAACGCGGTCGACCAAGCAAACAAAAGGAGGTCGAGGTGCCATCTCTCACCGAGGAATCGAAACCCAAAAAGAGGGGTAGACCAGCCCGAGAAGCTGCAGCAGAAGAAGAACCGAATGAGGAGGAACCCAAACCGGCGCAAACGAAACCGAAATCGAAGAAGGCCAACAAGAACAATTCAAACGATGCTGAGGAAGAGGCAGACAAACACACATCAAAAAGCCAAGGAGACAAAACCGCCGTACGAGGCAAACCAGGTCGGAAGCCAAGAAAGGAGACGAACGAGGAGGCCCAAGACGAGAACGAGGCTAGCACAAGCAACGCAGCGAAGAAGAGATCTGGTCGGCCGGGAAAGGCAGTGGAGGAGCAGCCTGAAGAGACCGCTTCTCCAGAACCGGCTCCCAAGAAGAAGCGTGGACGACCCTCTCTAGACAAGAAAACAGCCGCCGAAGAACCATCAGAAGCTGCCAGGGAGGACATTGCGCCCAAGAAACGGGGAAGAAAGCCCAAGGGAAAGGCTTCCGAGGTCGAGAAGCCTGCACCCGAAGAGGAAGCGGAGGCTGAGGCCGAGGCCGAGGCCCCCACCAAGAAGAAACGTGGGCGCAAGGCAAAAACCACAGTGGAGGAGGCAGAAGAACCACCAGCTGAAGAGGAACCCGCGGCCGTCAAAAAGAGACGCGGTCGGCCCGCAGTGCAAGCCGAACCAGAGGCACAGCAGGCTTCACGGCCAGAGCCGAAAGAAGGAGGCCGGGGGCGGAAGGAGAAACAGCCTGTACCGGCAGAGGAGACAGCAGCCGAAAAACCGACCAAGAAGCGGCGGAAGAAAGGCGAGGAGGAGGAAGAAGCGTCACCAGATACCCAACCTCGCCGGCCTGGCCGTCCTCGAACTTCGGATGCAGCATCTCCACAAGACCAAGCCTCTCAACCGCGCAAATCCAAGAAACGCGCGGCGGAAGATGCTACGACTGCAGAAGCCTCAGCACCCGCAAAGAAACGCCGGCGTCGTACATCTGACGAAGTTCAACAAGAAAAACCACACCAGAAACAACAACAGCAGCTCCAGCAGCAACCCAAATCCGAAGCCCCCAAAACGGTCCGACGGGACCCTAAACACCGCCACATCGCCGCCCGCGTCCGCCAAGTCCCCCGCTCCGTAATAGAAGAGAAATGGTCCCCCCTCACAAACCCCTCCCTCTCCATCGTCTCCAACCTCCTCCGCCTCGCCGAGCGCCCCGTCCTCCAGCGCATCCCAGGCAGCGAAAAGCGCCGCGACCAAGCCGCCTCGGCCCTCCACCTCATCACGAACCGTCTCGTCAAGAAACTCTCCCGCGGCCTGCCCTTCCCGCCGGCCTCGGCGCCACCCGTAGGAGGAGGTAGGGCCAATCGTAGCAGCAGGAAGCTTCTCGACACGGACGGCGGACGCGTCGAGGAACTCAACTTTGAGCGCGTCATCGAGGGCGTCGCGAGCCTCGAGAGGCAGCTCGATCCCCTCCTCCACGCAGTGGACCTCCTCAAGGCCGAAAAGGAGCGCGAGGAGAAGGCGCTGGAGGAGGACTACGAGACCCTCCAAACGCTCGAGGCGAACGCACGCTCCGAAGCACGCAACTTCAAGGATAGTCTCCGCAAGACGCACGTTCTTGTGCCGGAGGCCAGGAAGCCCGGTACTACATCTACTTCCGCCTCCTCCTCCTCCGCTGCCGAAAACGTCGTCAAGCATGACAACGATCCAGACCTGAACTTTATCGTCTCCGAAGAGGGCACCGGAAGCGGCACGCCGCTGTTCAAGGACCTCGAGGACGACGAGCTGCGCGGGCTGGCGGGGCAGGTCGGCAGCCACATGGAGAGCATGCGGGCCAACCTGCAGCAGATTGACGGCGTCGTACCGCAGATCGTCAAGAGCAGGGCCGCGCTGCAGGATGTGCTGTTCAAGCACTTGGATCAGCAGAGCTTTGAGAATGTCTTGTTTGGATGAAGCACCCGCGCGCGTGTTTTGACTTTGCGTCGTGCCGGTCAAAGGTATTGGGAACTTGGGAAGACTATTGGGAGTTTTTGGACGGACCTGGTATTAATTGGGCAGATGTATGCACTACGGGATACTGGTACCGTGGGCTGGATGCGGAGGCGTTAGCTGAGTGTCTAGGCGATACCACGCAATTGATGATTTATGACCTCCAGTACCTAACATTGACAAAACCAAACAGCTATTTGTGATGTGACCATATGGCTTCCATCGGGATCTCACTAGCTCATTAAAAAGCTCGACCCCTTTGTGGACATGCAGTCATTACCACCTCCCCAGGAGCAGTGTCACCGCAACATCTGGGCCATCTTGGAGATGTTGCCTTGAATCCGTTTGCCTACGAAGAACTATACACTTGGGGAAATTCAAACCTCGACCCCATCCTATACCATACAAAAAGTAGGTCTCATACCCTATTTGAATGCTCTTGCTGAGACTTTCTCCAAGCCACAAAACCACCGCCTTTGTTTATAACATTCCTTGCTCTTCATGAGCGTCATCATGGTGTGCCAAATCCTGATGAGGTGCCATACTCTATCCTTCTTCGCCACAGAATCACACCGCACTACTGTCAATGGCCGGATCTCTCCACTTCAGCGATGGCAATCATCGTGTTGCGAGAATCAAGACTGACTCCGCTGACTATCACCTGAGAAACGTGGTTAGCTCCAGCGTGAATACGTACGTAGGGGCAATGGGCAACTTGTGAAGCGCAAAGACTCCAAGGCTGTGAAATATAAGGTCAAAAGGCTCACCTGCATCGTTATCATCAAGAGCTGTGTTATAAGACAGACGACTGGCCGGGGTGGCCCACTGCTCAGTTGTGGCAGCGGTAGAATCTCCCGCAGGAAGCATTATCATGTTAGCTGGAGTAACGGGACGGATGGTCGGTGCTTCAGTATCATCGCTGTGAGCGTCCTTGCTCTTCAGCGCGACATCATTCTGGGCGACGTTGGCGGTCTCATTGGCAGATTCGTGTCTGACGTGCTCGGCTTCCAGGAGCTGCGCAGGAAGAGTACTCAAGGAGGACGCCGACTGGTCCTCCATTTCAGCAATAGCAAGAGCTGGATTGTTGGCCATCTTGGCATGCTCACTGCCCTTCAATGTTTCGATGCTCTTTTGGAGCGCTTCTAGGTCTTTGTAACCTTCCTTGATGGGAAGGATTTCGAGCTCTGGGTATTCAAGCTGAGCAGGTGACTTGGCACCCGGCTTGGACGGCATCATTCTCCCCAAGCTGGTCTTCATGGCCTTTCCGAGCTTCTTCGACATGGACTGAGAATTCTTCTTGATCTCAACGATATTGGGCATGGAAGTCTTGCCGGCGATCTCAACATAGTGCACTGTTTCCGTGCCGGGGACTGCCGCAAAATCCTTCGGCGTCATATCGTCATCGAGGCCGGCAGTACTACTTCTCTTGGCTCTGTCATGGGAGGGCCATTTGGCCCAAGAAGAAGGAGGTGTAGCAATTATTTGAAAGCCCAAATTCTATTTGGTGCCTGCGCCATCCTCGTTGTTCTCTAACCTCCTGGGGATAATGGTACCAGACAAAGACTGCCGAGAAGTGCTCGACTGGCTGGCGTTTCGTGTCGCGAGCAAGTCATGAGCCATGGCATCTCCGTGGCGAGATCCGGCAGCATCTCTTTCTGGAGCGCCAGAGACTTCGTTGCCATCGATCGAGACCGTTGCCATACTGGCCTTAGCCCTGGCAGACTTCTTGAAATCTGCAGTGGATTTCGTCTCGCGCTGATCATGCGCAACTTTGAAAGCTCGCTGCCAGACTACGGTGGCGCTTTCGGTGAGCTTAGGTGCAGTGAACGCGTTGTCGTTCGGGACATGTTGCGTCGAAGACGAGATACTGTGACTCGAAATTCTTTCATTGTGCTCCCGTGGCTCGAGTATCTGGTTCGATACCGACGGGGAACTCAACAGTTCAGGCTCTGCGGAAGACTGACTATGCGACTGCCGACGGCCTCTAGAACTCGAGTTTCTGCGAATGCCAAGGAATTGAAGGAACGAGGACTTCCGAGACGGCGCATTACCGTCATTGGAAGTATCGGTCTCGGGTTCACCAGGTATTCCTTGAATACCACTGAGTGTGGCGGGTTTCTGATTCTCCAAGGCAGAGACGCTCTGCGCGATGTCATAGTTGCGATAGTGCTCATCCTCGGTATGAATTCCATCTGCGCCACATCCTTTCTTGCCTGATAGAACGATAGTAGGTACAGCCGTGTCCCAGTCCGGGTTCTTGTCTAGGGCAGTTCGATAACTCTCATCGGAACGCTGCTCCTTGAGGTCATTGAATACTGTTGCATGATTAGTTGAGACACTAGCATTCGCGACAATGATAAACCTACAGTCAAAGTTGGCGAGATCGAGATCGATCAGACTCTCAGCAAGGCTGTTGCGATCGTCGTCACCACTGACATCCTTGAAGCCTGATGGCGAAGTGTTGCGTGTGTTCTGCATTGAAGAGTATACAGATGATGACGGGTAGTGTAACGGCTCGAGCACTGGAGCGAGCTTTCCGCCGACGAAATTGGTATTTACCTCCAAGTCGTCCTTCAAAGGCGAAGCAATGCGCGGCTTGGGATCAGAATCCTGTTGAAGAGGAAAGCTGATGGGACTCGAGAGTTGACGGTTTGGTTCTTTCTCGCCGCCAGCCTCAGTAACAGGGTTGCGACGACTCACTACAGTTGTGTACTTCTCTTTGCTAGTCACATCGGGGGCTGCGATAGAATCCTTCTGAGACTGGAGTTTGTCGGCAAGCAACCAGGTCTCCCAGCCACTGCCATCCTGGGACTGTACAGATTCCGAAGTACGGGGAGGCTGTGATGTACCAACGGACTCTGCCGCGAGCTTGTCATCGGGCTTTTCCGCGTCGTAGAGGGTTGCGCTGTTGCTGGAAGTACCATCTTGAGACTGGGACTCAGAGCTATCCTTGTCGTCAACGGCAGCTGTGCTGTCTTCGTCCAGGGGGAGGGGGATATCCTGAGGTTGAAGAGAGAGTGCCGTCCGACTTTCGCCTTGGGGGATGCACTGGGAGAGTCTCCAAGTTCTGAAAGACTCGTCGTTCTGATCGGCGCGACTCTGGCGAGCAGAGAGGACTGGGGCGGGAGGTGGCATATCCAGGAGTGATCCTCGCTCACGAAGAACGACGTTTGATGCCGATACCTTTGTGGAGGTATCGGGCTTTGGGCAGCTGCTGCGTCGGCGGTCTCCAGTGGTGATATCGATAGGATGTACCTTAACACCTTCGTCCGAAAGCTTGGCAGCAGGTGGTGGCTGCGGCAGGCGGGTGATATCAACCGCAGAAACGTCGGTGGGAATTTCCACCTCTACTCCGCTCCGTGGTCGCGGTCCGCTCTGGCGCTCGCTTTGGTGATCACCGGATACCTCCACCACTGTCTCTAACCCACGGAATCTCTTACTTCCAGGCGTGACAGATCGCGAACTATGCTCGCTCTCGAGGTCGGCTTGGATGCGCCTCATGTTATTTTGTCTCACAGAGTAAGTATAGGCAGCCTGGTCGTACTGCGGGGAGCCATCTATCTCGATAGCAGAGGGATTGGAAGAGGGCCTCTGGATGCTGACAATCGACACCCGCTTGTCACTTTCGGGACTGTCAGATCGTTTGTTGCTGTTATCAGAGCGGCGTCGGCTGAGTCTGCTCCAGGGGCCACTCCTTCTGGGTGCTTCGATTTGATCCTCGGGGTCCGATACATATTCGACCTCGGTGGGATCAGGAATGAAATCCAACTCAGGAGAGCGCATGTATGAGCGGTGAGAGGACGCAATAGAGCCTCCCGTGTTGGTTCCGCTGAGCAGGAGTTCCGTGTTGTAGTTGCTTCCGGGCAACTTGGCCGGAGGAGGTAGCTTGATCAATTCGACAAGAGGCTGCTTCGGAACCTGGGCCAGAATTTTCTCCTTCGAGGTCGCTTTCTTGTATTTCGCGTCCTTCGACTTCGTGTCTTTCGCGACTGTCTCGGGGGAATTCGCCTCCTTTGCCTTTGCGTCTCCGCCATCCCCCTTTTTCTTGGAGGGGATGGCGATGCAGCAGACGCGCACCATCTTGCTGATTTCCCCAGGTGGATGCTCGATTTTCTCTATGGTTGGTTTGATCTCCAAACGAGCGAAGAGGTGGTGATAGTCGGATGGCTAGAGAAAAATACTCGGTACCAATCCAAGAAACTGCTCGACCTGCCCAAGAGGAGAATGATGCAAATGAAAGTCTGATGAGCGAAGTTGTCTTGCAGCAGGCCAAGGCCAAAAACAGAGGTTGGAGAAGAGTGAGAATTTGGCAAGTAGCTTCTTCTGTGGAGGATGGAGGGCAGAGGAGGAAAGCAGAAGGCCCTGTCAGGTTGTGGGAGGTTGACCTGACGATGTCATTTTCTGCTGAGTGAAAACAGCGGGTGCCCCTGAGGGTTCCTTCTCGAGGGTTTGTTGCTTTCACTGAAGGCAGTCACCAGGGGCGACATCGTCAAGCAACATGGGCACTGAAGTCGAGCAGTGGCCATCAAAGACCAGCAGCCGCCTCCCTCAACAATGACATGCGGCTCGTGAGGGCGTGTGACAAAGGCAGCGCCGCATGTGTGAACTGTGTGTATTTGAAACGGAGGGCGAGCACTTGCTCCAAGATCTCCAGATATCCACTGCCCTCCTCCAACCCATCTGACATAGCTTCTGTTGAGGTCGTTTTGCATATTGGGTTTGGCTCAAGCGTTGGGTTTATGAATCGACAAAGTGCTTCGGTTTGGTCTTGTTAAAAAGAACTCCACCGCGGGAGCCCTGGGTTTGTGCATGTAGGATAGTATTGGCCATTCCTGACCCCTATTCGGAAATACCAAAATTGCCTTTGAGCATCGCTTGAAGCACCGATTTGGAGTGCCGTCTTGGAGAGTGGTTTTGGGGCGTCTTTCTGGAGCATTCCTCTGGAACAGCACTCTGAATCACCCGCTTGGATGCGACTATGCGAACGTTGTCCGCCGAGATATCAAGTCGACTTTAGGTCTGCAAGCACTCGTATAAACCGCATTCGAACTGGTTTCTTTCTCCAGAGGGATCTGCTTTACGCTTCTCTGACTGGCAAGTCCTCGCTAACCAGGTCATATGCTAGCTGATGTAGTTCCTTCGGTCATTCAGATGGCCTTTTGACCATTGTCAAACAAAGCCATTGAGAATGTAGAATTCAGACCATAAACCTCGGACTTTCAACGTCTTGTGCCACTTGGCATCGAAGAATTCGAGTTGAAATGATCGCTCTCGATTTGTATAGCAAAGGCCACACCCGTTTCTCAGAGGGCACTTCGTGGCTCGTGGACATCTTCTATTCTGTGGTGTTTGTTCCTGAGCAGCTTTCCAGTGTCCCGGACCAGGAAGGTAAGCTCGTGCTTTCGTAGTGAGATATCGATATATCCAATCAAGACGGCTCAGGCTAGTGATGTCGTGAGGTCGGTGATGGAGGCTCCGGACACGTGGGTCAGTGGAAGGCGGTCGAAAGCGGCCCGTTCAATGAGACGTCCGTCGTTGTGCCCTATGAGGACACAAGTACGAACGGGTGGCGCAGCAGGTTTTCTTGGCTTGTGGGAATTTTCCACGCGAGACATGGAAGTGATGAAGATAATATCCATTCAATTTGCCGATTTGATTGCTACCCGAGGTTCTGGGTTCGTAAAAATTGCCCAGAATCAAGAATGGCTTCCGCAGACTCTAGCATGCAACGATCTGTATTCTGTAGTCGAAAGGAACACCCGACCCGGTCGATTATGGGGACGGAGCTGCCGCATGATACTTGGCGACAGGGTTGAAATTTCGGGTGAGCGACCGATGCTGTGCAAACAACTGCAAGCGACCAAACTCAAAACAAGGACGTGGGTGCCAGACAGGAGGAACCCCTCCCTCCAGAGTCCCGACTCCCGACTCTCTAGGAGGCAGTGCTAGCCTGCCAGGGAGCTACCGTGTTTGACGTTTTCTGACGAGTGTTCCGACTTGGTTCGCCTGGTCGGTCCTTCTTCATTAGCAGGAGTATAACAAGAGTATCAAGCCTTCGTATCAGGGAATAGGAACGGCAATTGCGGCGCGGTTGTGACCAACCTGAGGCAAATCCATCCGTAGGAGGGCGATGCGATGGTGTGAAGCAAGCGGAAGTTGAAAGAAGCAACGACGAGAGGCAAAGCGGGGTGGCGTTGGTGTGTCTTGGTCCAACAACAGTGATCACCCCGTTAAGAATGTGAGGTGACGGTGAAGGCGATCCCGTGTTGGTTGATGGTTCCCATGTTGTAAGACAAATTAATGGGGCGAAATGCAATGGAATATAGGCCGACGCCGATTTGTCTGAGTCTCAGAGACTCGAGAGAGATCTATGCGTACTCCGTAGACGCCTCAGTATGTATTCTGTGTCTTGCCTGATCAAGGTATCAAGTCCACGATGGGAGCACACCTTCCTGATGGAAAACTTAGGAAAGGGCGGCGGAGGAAGGAGCGGAACCAGGCGCTGGATTCATTCCAACTCAGGAAGGCACCGAACGGCGAGGGGCAGGAAGGAGCTGAAGTCGCCTAGTCGGGGCCACCTTCCCGCCTTGCCCCAGGAGTAAGACCGGGCGGGAGCCGTGTTGCCGTCGTCAGTGCAGGGCCGTAGGCAGGCTGACGTTGACAACTTGACAAGCAATCTGACAAGCTGGAGTAATCCATCACGAATCGATCAATCGGACAGTCACTTTTGAATCTGACGATGGGTTCAGGCTCCAGAGTCCACCGTCTGTGCCGAGCCCACCGGTAGGATGCACGCGGCTGCGTACGAATGGCTCGAAACCTCATCAGAATTGATCAGACTCATCATCAATGCCCAGGGTCTTCAGGTGAAGATAATGTAAGCTCCAGGTGTGCAATTTCCAGCGCGAATTTTCTGCAAGATTAATCAAGACAACGACCCAGCAGGATCGCTGCCATCGCAAAGCTGCGCAATAATATGCAGATTGCCGTTGGTCAAGGTCAGGCCAGCCGCCAGACCTCTGACCCAGACCATGACCCAGACCTGGCCAGGGACCACCAGGCCAGGCTCTCTGGAAACTTGGGAACTGCCGGGTAACGACTCGCCGGTTCATCTGATGGTTATTACCTCAGAGCTGAAAGGAAGAAAAAAGAACACCACCTCACAGCCTGCATGCAAAAGTGTCAGCACTGGCAGACAGTTGTGCTGGAGACGGTACATTTCGACATAATCTCGACACAATCACTCTGTGACAGGGACTCCCGGGGCGAACCCTGAGGGGGGAGATTTGGTTGTTTCCATCCCTGCCGAGGAGGGGCGATGGGCCATGGTCCGTGGCACCGTGGGTTGGCGGCTCGGAGGCTGGACTTCTGGAGTCGTGCGTGCAACTTTGCGCAGTTTTTCCGCAGGTTTTCCCAGATGAAGGTCTCCGCCGCCAATTCCGGGGGGAAGAAAACTGACGAGGATTGACAGGTCAGCGGTGCGGTGCGAAATGTAACCGCGAGCGGCAACACTTGGGCGTCAGAGGGGGGTGAAGGGATCGCCTCGGGGGTCTGAAACCCTTCTCTTCGGGGGTTCGATGCTTGGCCATGAGCCAAATGGCGAGGATTGCAGCCGTTCTCAAGCAGCGGACTGGGCTTTCAGTCACTGTGGCTACGGGCAATGGTACCTGGATGAGTCTGAACTTTGCTCCGTCTGATGGCTCATTTCCATCAGATCATCCCGTCGTTTCGATCTCGTGTTTCTGGCCGGGTTGGCTGCCTAGGTGGTTACGGCAGGGTCATCCACGCCTTCTCGGTCACATGAAAAGCACAAAAGCAAAAGACATTGAGCGTCATGTTATACCAGCTGAAGCCAGCTGCGGCCAAGAGCTGAGCTCTGAAAACCCGAGTCTTATCCTACATTCCAACAAGTCCCGGAGGATGCAGAACAGAACGATTCGACCCTCGTGGCCTCTGAGACGAAAACATTCCGCAGCGGTGAAGAACAAACCACGGACCACGAATGAGGACGACAACTCACAAAGCTTGGACCTGGCGTTGCCAACTCCATCTTCGATTCTGATGGACGATCATGGAGAAGGCGGAAATTTTCTCTGCTCCACGTCGGCGCACACGTACCGCATGTCTTGGCACAGCTGGCCACAACGGCAGATGGGAAATAGTCGATGGATCGTGTCCCTTCGGCTCCCGTCTAGAGTTGCATCAAGACAACGTGACAATGTGGACTGGGAAATGGCACGGCGGCAGAGGCAGTCGGTCAGTCTGGGGGCCAAAACTACCAAGTTCCAAAACTTCCAACGACTCTGGAAACGCATGGCGCGACAATGTCGCACACAATGGACCATTTCAGGGCCACCGCGTCGATCCCATTCTCCCCCCGAAGAGACGCCACATTGATCCGACCCCCCTGATATTTGATTCTTCTAAGTACAGATTACCGCAGTAAGGATGCACAACAGTGACTGGATTCTGGAGAGACTGTCAGCAAATCTAGGTCATCCGCTAAAGGGGGGACCGAGGGGCTGAGCGCAGACTCCCTGTTGGTCGGTGCCTCGTCATGTTCCTGGCTAAAATCTGTTCTAAGGCAAGGTACCCGAGTCGACCAAGCGATTAAAAGCGCCTAATAATGTGAGGCAAAGAATCGAGGGGAGGAGGCAAGCCGACATACTGCCGCTCCGACTCATTATTTTGTCCTCCACTTCCAAGTTTCCGTCCCGATCCCCTAGGCACGGGGCCTGACAAAAGATTGAACACGGCTGAAAGATGTCACTATCGACAGGCTTCATCGGACTATTTCCGACACATCTTTGGCTACCATATTATCCATAATCCCGTAGGAAAGGGGTCAGGTCGCAGGAGGGGCAGCAAATGCTCGTGCACTGCAACGGAAGCGGTGCATCTCGAGATGCGCAGTCTTCTGTTACGTCACTCACTACAGACAAACAAACAATACGGATACCTATGGCTTTTCGTAGGGCTCCCGATAAGGATTTGCGGTGAGCGGCAGGCCGGCGCCAGGTGCAGGAGTGCAGAGATACTTGCGAATATCAATAGGGGCGCAAAAGGGATCGACTGGCTACCGCTTCGTCACAGATATTTCCGGTCGGCGGCAGTGTAAGGTCAGCCACAGCACGCGCGCGCGCGGCGCGGTCGCCATTCATCACGCATTTAGCATCGCAGCACGACTGTTCTCTTCTATCAGAGCGTCTATGGATAGTTTGTCTCGCGTCTCTTCACGTCACATCAAGATGGGCAGGGTCAAAACGGTCAGCCTAAGGTTAAGTGAGTTTAAGGTCGGTCGCTAAAACGCCTCCATCGAGGTAGGTTGGTTGGTTTCGCAGCGGACCAGGACGCTACGGGCCAACGGGGGCAGAGGGGAGACCACAAGTCAAGCAGACGGACCCCCGGCTAAGCGGCAGTCTCTATTGGCGTTTTCATTTTTAGCCCTTTTGTGGCTCACTCTGGTTTGGCGCCGCCGGATCAGACTTAGCCGCTGCATTTGTCAATGTGCCGTTGGCTGGCTGTTGGGGCTAGATCGGATGACTGCGAGTTGAACGGTGAGTGGACAGAGAATGAGAAATGGCTGGGGTTTCAAGTGAGGGCAAAGAACGGTAAGCTACGAATATTTGGAAACAGAATCTAACAGATTGATGCAACTGTCGGCTGGCTGAGGGAGGGAGGTAGGTAGGTAGGTAGGTAGGTATTTTTGAGACTTGCATCGCCGTGTCTGCGAGAATACGACACATGCCTTATTATGGTGTTATTGACCAAATAGGTACAGATACGGGCCTGAGCCAACTGTCGGTCAGTCGGTTAGCGGTCTGTCGCGCCTGTCACCGTCGACCGAAGCTTTGCATATGCGCACAGGTTGGGTTGAACGCATACGGACTACATACGAGCGACGACTCGGCCGTGCATACGGACGGATACTCGTATGTCTATATCGTACGGCATACGGAGTACACTGGACCATGGCCTGAGACCGAGAATGCCACGAACTTGGAAGTCTGTGGTTCGGGACCGCGGATGGAACAGCGCCAACAGCCAACAGGCCATCTCCACCGTTTTCATGGTCCCTCAATGAAAAGCAAATTGAGCAGCCCGGGATACTCTGTAGTCTGTACGGAGTACTTCGTAGAGGTTGAGGTCTGAGGATGAGGGGGCTATCCGCTGTCGACCTCTAGGCTGCGAAACCGGCATGATGCAAGAAGTTAAGAACGGGCTCAACAAGGAAGGAAAGGCAGCCTGCGCGCGCGAGATCGATGATCAAGAGGCAATCAATCTCTCTACGGGTACGCTCTCTCCACTGACTGAATCCGCAAGAGATCTAGACGTTGGTCAAGTGTGAGAAGGCTGGACCACTTTTGTGCTGCCGCCATCTGCTGGGATCTGCAAAGAAGGCGTAGAGATGGGCATGGAAGAAGCTTGAGTACGGCTCCGGGCAGCAAACCAAAGTGAGTAGATGCATGTTCCCTCGAGTTTCTCAGCTACAACTCCGTACGCACAAATACGGAGCACAAAGTAAGGTAAGAGAGAAGACAGCTCACTCCCGTAACCAGCTCCGTAGATATGGTCCCATACACGGAGAACAATCCACAATCACATCTTTCATTAAATTGATCAACAAGGTACCTTATCGCAGGGACCCTCGCACCCTCGACAAAAAGTCAGGGATGGCCGGGCGCCTGTGGCCGCGATCTTGACTGGGATTCTGCCTGGTGTGGATGGTGTGGATCCCGGCGATTGGCCACGCTTGTGTCTCATGTTTGGCGGTACCTGCATATGAGGAGCGGGATGGCAGGGGCTGGGCCGACAGGGGTAAGCTGACCAAGACTGCGCTGACAACTGGCAAAACTCAGGACGATAGGAGGGAAGTGCCAGGCGCACAGAGGCATGTTCACTGCCAGAGCACGGCAACCGATGGGCTGACAGGTGGTAGGAGGCGCCACCCAGGACTTTCCCTGTTTTGGCAAGGGGAAACACAACGTCCAGCGGTACCTCTTAGAAAAAACAAGGTCGGAAAAAGGAGTCAACATCAACGGTCTCCCGTCTTCTCAAGCCTCAAGCCTCACATCTCTTAACCTCAATGACTGCTCAACACTGACTTTCTCTCATATATAGCTCAATAACCAGGTCAACCAGTACTGCTACCGCTCATATTACCTCACATATTGCCGTCGTCGTCGTAGTCGTCGTCCTCGAATGCCACCCGGCCTGCCGTCATCACCGGCGCAGGTGGGGTCATCTCACTCCTGTCTTTTAATGAAGAGGACTCCGTCTGTGGGTTTGACGCTTGACTCCTCGAGAGAGAAGAGTGAAAAAAAGGGCGGCTTCATCTCTTGCCCCCCATGCAACACTCGAGGGCTGTGCGGCAAGCGGTGCGGTGGTCGGTGGTTCGCCTCTTCCTTAGCCCAGCTTCCTAAGGTGGGAAGCGGTTCTTCGTAACCCCCTGGATCATCGAGCAAGGGTCCTTGAGGCCCCCCCCGGCGCCGTCATCCTTTCTCTTTCCCACCTCATCCGTGGGTCTCCACTCCGTGCCTCTTCCCAACGACACACACACACTCACACACACACACACCACACCCTCACTCACTCACTCTCATACTGTTGCTCTCACCTTCACTCGCCCACTCACTTTCCCCTTCCTCACTCACTCACCTCAGCCCGAGGTGCCATCCCATCCCGCCATCTTATCTCTCTCACTCTTCTCTTGCTTGGTGCCGGACTAGTCCCGCGCGCCCTGCCATCTCCTTCTCACCCTCACGCTACGGATACTTCGTACGGAGAACGTACCTTCACCATGTCAGGTACACTTCCTTGGCATCCATGTCATCCCATGCGGGCCAAGCAAGCGTTTGGCCCCAGTTGGTCCACCCCTAATGCGGTGCGATGCGCCTACGCCGCTGAACCGCGACAAAGTTCCTTGCTCCCTCTTTCCCTCTCGCTCTCTGATTAGTTTGACTGGTGCTGTGTAAGTGGGAAAGTCCCTCGTTGTGCTGGCAAGCTGGGCCTGCCTTGCAAGCGCAACTGGTCTCGGCCGGGCCCTGGACCTGCAATCCCAAATGTCCATGGCATCTCTCCATCTCCCTCTCTCATGGATCATGGACCATGGACCATGGTTCATACACTACACCATCACCCCCCAAGATGAAGGGCCCACGGTCTAATGTGGCTCCCACCCGGGGGCCACCCCCTTCCTCCAAGTCCACCCTCCTCCTCGAGCCTTGAGGATTTCGATCCTATCCACAAAGTCCACGTCCCTCTAGGCTCCCCTCCCCTCCCACCCCCATGCTTCCATGCCCATGTACATCCACCATGGGCTCCACGGGCTAAAAGGACTCTGACCTCCCTCTCCTCTTCTAAATACCTTCTCGCCCTTCCTCTCCTTCACCTACTCTTTCCATCTTTCTCCCTCCACCGCACAGTCTTTCGTTGTCAGTCTTCGGACACATTCCATTCATTCAGCCTCACCCACGCTCTCTATCGAGTATACCATTCGTTCATTTGCGCAAACTGTGTCTTGCAGCCAACACTTTGAGAAACATCCCCCGCGAAATTGATCTTTCGCCCCTTTTACGATCCCCGATCCGAACGAGCAACCTAAGAAGTCGTTGGAAACAAACCCATCCACATCTATCAAAATGAAGTCCTGCATCGCCGCCGTTGGCCTCATGGCCTCGCTCGCCAGCGCTTCCGCCCACCAGCCCCGCCACTTCCACTGGCGCCGCGACAACTCTACCGCTCCCGCCGGCTACACCACCCTCACCGTCGAGGTCACCGAGGTTGCTACCGTCACCTCTTGCGCCCCTACCATCACCAACTGCCCTGCTCGCAGCGCCACCCTCTCCGCCTCTGACCTCTCTACCTACGTTGTCACCAACACCGTTGTCCTGACCGAGGTTGTCTGCCCCGTCACCGAGGCCGCCAGCCTTTCCAAGTCTCTGGTTCAGCAGCACTCTACCGGCGGTCTCCAGGGCTCTACCCGCACCGCTCCCGCCATCACTACCCCTACCGCCGCTCCCTCCATTCCCCTGTCCACCGCCGGTGTCACCAACTCTGCTCAGGACCCTACTGTCACCAGCCCCCCTACCGCTGGCGGCGACGATGAGGAGGAGGATGACTGCCCCGCTGAGGATGGCGATGTCGAGACCACCGTCACCGAGATCATCTCTACCAAGACTCTTACCATGACCGTTGGCAAGGGCTCCACCGCTTCCGTCGTCACCACCGCCATCCCTACCACCATTGAGTCTACCATCCTCGTCACCAAGCCCACTGGCTCTGCCACCGGTGCCGGCGAGGAGCCCACTACTACCACCACTGCCACCTCCACTGGTACCCGCACCGTCACCATCAAGCGCCCCGGCCAGACCGCCGAGTCTGCTTCTCCCAGCGGTACCCTCGGCGCCGACGGCCAGTGCGCTTGCCCCTCCGCCGTGACCGTCACCGCCCCCGCCTCCACCGTCTACGTTACCATCGGTGGCTCTGCTCCCGCTGCCACTCCCTCCGCCAGCGCCAGCCAGACCGCCTCTGCTGAGGCCCCCGCCACTACCGGCGGTGTCGGTGCTGACGGCGAGGACGATGAGGAGGATGACTGCCCCGCCGACGAGGACGTTGTCACCCTTTCCACCACCGTCACCGTTGCCCCCTACCCTACCAACGGCACCGCCTCCGGCGCCGCTAAGCCTACCGGCTACTACAAGCGCTCCAACAAGCTCTTCTAGGTGTTTGATGTAGATTGATTCCCCCCCGCATGTCAAGCTATATTTGGTTATGAGAAGAATCTATGATTCATGAACAAACACATTCTTATCCTTCTTACACTTTTTGTCTTGTATACACTTCTTGGAGTGAAAATAAAGCGAAGTTTTTTGTACAAAACAACACGAGTCGGGGTGGGAAATACAATGAACTCGCACTTTATTTTTCGGTCCTGCCTGCCTTTTTGGTGTGGTGTTCTTTTTTGTCCTCTTGTGTTTTAGAGACGGGAAAGAAAAAGGGGACAACCTTTGGCATGGCGAGTCCATTGAGGGTTGTCTATTTTGTTCGGTGGTCAAAGCATTCTATGTGTTTTATGGGAAAGATCAATGGGCATCATTGCATTCGCGTAGCGGGTCGTTGGGGACCAAAACAAGATTATTTTTCTATTTCTGCTCAAGAAAAATCCAGAAAACTGTTCACTTCTATTTGTACATACTTTACTCGACGAGACAGTCAAAATGGGGATGAGGTTTGGTGCGACTTGAGTTGGTCTCTGACACCCCCTGGTCTGAAATGATGAGACGGTTTTTCCTGCCCCCTTCCCGCATCCAATGCTGCAGTTGCTGAAACGAAACGGGAAGTTTATTTCAACTTTCTTTCGACTTCGTGTGAAACTTGAGATGAACATGGAATGTGATTGGGTTTGTGAGACTCTGACGTTTGACCACTTTGATATATAATTCTGCTCTGGTCATGGTTCGCATTTCCTCGCTCGACCCGCTTAGCTTAGAAGCAAACGACTCGTTGAGCTACGTCTCTGGACCTGCTGTGTTGCAAGCCTCACAACCACAACTTTTGACAGCTAACGAGTCTTGGTTTTCTTCCTCTCCCTAACTCACACCCTCGTCTCAAGCAATTTTCAACACAACGCAAAAATGCCCAAGCAATGCTTCAGTCCAAACCACGGCCCAGATTCCGAGTCTCTGTCTTGTGGCAGACACATGGCAGAGGCCGATGATGATGTGTCGTGGCGGTGAAATTCACTAGTCATACGGGCTTGAGCACGACTTTGTCGCAAAAAGATGAGACTTGAACTGTTTACACACTACCGAGGACTCGCTTTACCTTTGAGGGGAGACGTGTGAATCGCACTGCTTGTCTTTTGCGTTGATTTGAAGCTACTCGGCTCCAAGCAGGAGGTCCGTACAGAAGTACTCGTTGCGTGCTCGGCACATGGCTCTCGCGCGGCGGGGAGTTTGAAAGATTGCGACGGCTGGCCTGTTACCTGAGTATTGAAGCAGACATTTGATGAATCTTTGTGTGAGGGTAGATTACTCTGTTAAGTCGTGAACGTAGAAGGCAGTCACGTTAGATCGGAGCTAGACAGGAGGTGGGACAGGTTAACCAGACCACCAGTATTAACTAGCTCTGACCCGAGGAGCCTGGGCAGCTTCCATTTTTCCATCCCAGCGTATTTAAAGCGCCGCTGGCATTTCCTTCGTAAGCAAGTTCCTCCACAACAACAACGTGGTGAGCTTCTTCAACGGCAGAACGGAAGTTCAGTACATGTAGGTTTCAAATCTATCAGCACATCCAAATCTACGACTCTCCGAACCTCGCCCCACGCGCAGGGGTTCGTTCTAGCCAGTGCTCAGCCGTGGCGGTTACGTATTGCTTGAGAATATGCGGACGACAGTGCGCAGGGCGACTAGGTAGTGAGAATCAGGAAGCTGACCTATGGTGCCTTGGGGATACCAAACTCTCAAAGGAAATGAATGAGTACCTAACCCGGTTTCCGGCCGCTTTAGTGGGTGCTATAGATAGCGGGGATTATAGCATAATGCTTCTTCATATGATGTACTGATAACTAGGTAGAATGCGACAGCTCATATAACCTACCTAAGGTGCCGAGCTCATCGCTTTCTTAGCAAAGGGACGTTGAGTACGGATATATAAAACGACCTGACATGTTGACTTTGTTACATTGAAAGCTCAGTTGGACCAATTCAAAATTTTCTTCTTGCATGCTAGCATGCCGTAAGTCTTTTAAGTTGACGAGTTATGGAAGAAGCTGAATGGTGGCTAGCAAAGCTATTGCCTTTAGAGGCCGAGTTTAAGCAGGTCTGCCACTTATTTTCAAATGCATGCCCTACCATTTAGATCCCTGCGTTACTCTTCACTGAGTATACGCTCCAGAATAGTACGATAGGGAATGTTGAGATTACGTTGAGATTAGGTGGCAGTCTCTCTGATATTCAACCCAAGGGCTGCATCGAGCTTCTCCCTCTACGCCCATGCAGCCCTCTACAACGAAGACATGTTGACAAAGTGGCTGTATAGAGATGTCTTTAGCGAAGTGGCGATATACCCTCTATGAGATTCGCTAACGTGCAAAGGACTCTCTTTTATACCACCAGACGGCAAGACGAGTTACTTCAAGAACGAGGGCTGCAAGTACGTCTTCTCATCCTGCGTGGTTGTCTCTCCTCTTTTCTACAGCTTCTTAGCGGACAGATCAATGGTTACCCAATTGGATGATGGGCCAGGCACTTTTTCCGGTGGCATTTTGAAGGGCGATATCTTGGAGTTAAATGTATATCGGCACATGTGAACCTTCACCGAGCGTTTCTTAAAGGAGATCCTGCTCATCAACAGTGCCAGTGACCAATGGGATTACCACTGCCCAAAGTACTCGAAACTTTGCCAAGAAACTCAGGCTCGCGATATAGAGGAAGATCGCTTGCGGCCAGTGAACGACGGCGTGGACTTGTGGGAAGTTCGCTTCTGAGCTATCAAGGTTCTTGAGTGAGCCGAATTGAGGGAGGCGTCACTGCGATATGTGCACATCTACGACATTTGACTATGACGGTTGGGCGGATTGAGTCTTGCTGTCCTCTGATCACGCGCCCTCGGGAAGTGCATAGCTCTTTTTACTTTGAAATACCAGCGAGTCTGCTCGAAGAACTTTCCGACATCGCCGAGAGACCGATTAGGCTATGTGATGCTCTATAAATACTTCAAAATGCGTAAGGAAAGCCGGCCAGTAAGTTCAATCATCACACCGCATCTCAGTGAGAGAAAGTGTTCAAAAGGATGTTAAAAGGCAACGGCGAAGGCATGGTCGAGCATCAGAGAAGCTAAATTGTTGCGTAAATTCCATCATCTGGCATGCTGTTTGTCCCACATACCGTTCTAATTCAAATATCACAGAAACTGAATCGGCAGCAGGAGTGAGTGGGTATGATGCAATTTATAGTATGTGTTATGGAGTAATGCTTTTGGTTGATCAGCGTCAATGCTGTCTGTGTTCAGTGTCCATCTCGCCCCCCGGGATAGGGTAAGGCCATGTTGTGTCCATATCTCATCGGACATGGTGTTCCTCCCCCGATCCCATTTGAAGTAAGATCTCCGGATCTTTGCTGAATAAAGACAACTTCTTGATAGGAATGGCCATATCAGCCATCCTACCCAGAGAGTCTATCCCTTTACCACTGAGTGGATGTCATCGACGGTACTCTTGCAGTCACCCTCGTTATAGATGCCTCCGTTGATAGTGTTTCCATCTCTCTTGGTAAATATTCCAACTCTGACTTCAGTAGATCGGCCCCGGGAGTGCCTTCGTCGATTGATTTTTCCGTGACATGAATCACTCAAACCTCCTCTTTCCGAGCCACAGGGCCATCTCTCAGCCTGACCCTCCTCGCTTCTTCCCTCTGCTTCTGCTCCTCAACCTTTCTCTGCATCTCAGCCTTCCTCTCCCGAAGCGCAATACAAAACCGCGACCCCGCTCGAATCTGCTCGCCCTTCCAGATAAAGATGAAGGGGATAATGCACATAATGGCACTGAAACCACCAAGCAAGCTACAAGCACCAGCAATCCCAAGCTTATTGAACATACGCGTCGTCGCCAGCGGCAGCACCACAGCAAGAAGAGACCGACTCGTCGAGGCAGCCGCGTTGGCGCTGGCCGCAAATATTTCGTACGCGTCAGTGAGATAGTTGAGCAGGGCAATGAAGATGAGCATGAAGCCCATGCCAAACGGGATACCCGCCAGCATGGGCGCTACGAAGTTGACGTCTTCTCTGGAAGACCAGCCCAGCCAGAACAGGGAAATGAAGAAGAGCGGCCCGCCGACACAAGCGAGAGGGAGACGGCGGAATTCCTCTCGCTTCGCCCACGTGTGACCACTCCGTTGTGCGCGGAGATGGCCCTGCTCCCAGCCGATGAAGATGGGCACCACCAGCAGGGCGCCGGCACCTATGGGGAGATAGGCTAGTCCAGCTACACCCGGCGAGAGGCCGTAGAGCTTCTGGAAGATGATGGGGAAGGCCTGGAAGGACATGTAGAAGATTGTGTAGACCAGAGCCAGGTAGGCGCACGTGCAGCTGACGATGGGCTCGAAGATGATCATGCGTACGGGGCGGGTTAGGACGACGGTGGCGATGTGCTTGAAGTCAGTGCTCTCCATCTCACGGGGCGCAATGACGGCGGCCGAGGGGTCGAATTTGCGGATCTTTTGTGCGCGTCGGAGGAGGAGGACGGGTGCGTAGGTCTCGGGGAGAAGGAGGATTGGGACGAGGGTTAGGCCGGCGTAGATGAGAGCCACCCAGAAGGACCAGCGCCAGCCTATTGTCGTGGAACAGAAGCCGGAGACGATAGGGGCGAAGAGGGGGCCAAAGGTGGTTGTCTGTGATGATTTAGCAAGGCTTCTTGGGTGGTAATCTTGGGAAGTCATTGGGACAACTTACGACCATGAAGGCTGTCATTGCGCGGCCACGGGTCTCAGTGTCACCGTAGATATCTGCAAGAATACCAGCCACGATGGCGATGGGTGAGCTAGCGAAGACGCCAGTAAATAAACGGAAGAAAAGAAAGGCAGGCCAGTTGGGCGCAAGGGCACAAGCCATAGTCCAGATGGTGAACATGACAAAAGTGATGATTGTCAACATCCTTCGACCGAGATGCTCGCTGAGAGGCGCCCAAACTACAGGCCCGAAGACGTAGCCGATGAGGAAGACGGAGATGGGCAAGACCTGCTGTTGCTCGTTTGTGATGCCCCATTCGGCGGTGATGAAGGGAATGGCGTTGGATGGGAGGGCCGAGCCCATTGTGCTGTTGATGACTTGCATCATGGTTAAGCAAAGGATCAAGAACTTTTTGGTCTACAGCTCATCAGTAAATGCTTTGGCAAATGTGAGATCAGAACATACATGTGACCAGTTGTACGGGTTCTCTGGGTCACCATCATCCCAAGATATTATCGTTGGCTCATCTTCGTCGCTTGATGAGTTGGGGCCGACTATCTTCTTTTCGTCAAGACCCTGCTCTTCTGCACGAGCCTCATATCTTTCACGGGCTTCACCTTCACCTATCCTCCTCACCGTCTCTGATAAAGAGGACCGGTTGCCTATGGAACATTAGACTTTGGTTACGAAGGATATTAGCCATGGGAATACCCACGTTGCAAGTACGGCAGATTATCTGTGACATCTTCCGCAGGTTCACTGTGGGCGGGCATGGCGAACTGTGAGCAGCGTACTGGCACACACTGATATGTTCCTGTGTTGGGGCTCCATCTCAGAAGACACGAGGGGAGAGCAAAGTGTGGGAGGTGTGGGTGAGGGTGTTGGTCAAATACGGAAATGGATGATTAATGACCCAAAGAATAATGGCCCAAAAATCACAGTTGCCCGAAAATCGGTGACTGCATGCTGCATGTGGCCGATCACCCTTGTGGACCGAGCCGGTCTAGTCTTCGTTCCCACCATCTTTTTCATAATTTAGCAACTGAGAAGCATTCCTGAGTGGCCGGGTGTAAGAGACAAGAGACGAAGTCTTATCCCCGTTCACGGCACGATGAGGGGAGGGGGGAAACAGTAAACTAGACGAGGAGAAAGCGCGTGTCTCGCCATTGGTTTGTCATGGACTCATCGGAGCCGAACCGCAAGACCCACTTGGTTTTCGAGAGCCGCTTATCCGGCCGCGGCGCGGCGATGTGCTTTCCCGCCGCATCCCCGGTTGCTGCTCTTGTGCCCCTCCACAGAGGTCATTTGGGTTTGCGATAGCGCCATCGACTGCCGCGCTTCGTCACGACTCATAGGGATAACGATGCCGTCACCGGTGAAAGACGCCACCGCTAGTGGAATGCGCCGCTTCGTCTCAGAATGGACCTAGGTATGCGTTGTCCAAAGACTGTGCACCCGCAGCGGGGAGCTTGAGACGGCCGAAAGCGTCTACTCTTATCAGATCCCTTCTAGTCGCACCAACTTCTGCAGCACCGGAAAAACGTTGCTCCTCATTTTGGCAACGATGTTGACGGTGGCTTTCTGAGTGTCCATGACCTAGAGCGGCACTGCGGTATGGGACGACGTTGAATTTTGTTCTCGATTGCATTTCTTCATGTCTCGAGGTTGATACTCTTTCCGAATCTGGCGTACAATTCGACCTTCAGCTGATTCATATCCTCCTTGATCGTTTCCAGCTTGGACTCCAACCCCTCGACATCCTCCTCGATTTTGGTTGAAGCCTGCTCGAGCATCTCTATCGCTTGAGGCTGTGTTACGTGGAAGTAGGCGTCGCCAATCTTGTATCTGTAACCGATCGTCAGTATAATCTTTCGGTGCGTCATCGGGGTGTCTTCGTGGCAGCGTACGGTACTGTCTCGTCTTCGTCGGCGAGCTCCAATTCTGTGCTGAGATCGTCGAGCTCTTCCTTTTCTTTCTGCAAGGACACATAGATATTAGACGGTGTTACTTGTCGGTTGAATGGGGGTGCGACTAACGCTCTTGTTCTTGAGTTCCTCCTCAATCATGAGTTCGCGCTGGTGCAGGCGACTGAACTTGTTGATCTTGTCTTGGTCCTCCCTCCTAACCTCGACCTCGTCGCCGACGGACTCCTCGTCCGCCTTGGTGAGCTGTAGATATGATGTCAGTAGGAAGCGCGAACCATAGAATGTGAGAATCATACCATGCGCCGTGACAACATCTTGATAGTATGCGGTGCGACGTGTTGCGTGGTGTTTGACGATGGTTTCGCTAACGGCCTCAATACTGGAGCTCCCAAAAAGCTCAGAAGGAGGGTCACAGTGACGCGCCACAGTGCGGAGGGGTCATGCACTGCCCCACTTTCGGGGGAGGTTCAATCAAGGTCTCTTCACCGCGGGAACTGCCGCTGGCGGACTGGCCTGTGCCAAACAAAACAAAAGCTCTCCCCCACACCGGGACGTCACACCGAGTCGCGACAGCTTACACGCGACTCCTCAATCCTGCAACTCCAGTCTCAACCATTTGGCCATCACCGCTATACACGCCTTGCAGTTAGTTCATCGCAATGGCTCCCGGTCAGAAGGCATACCCGCGCGGTACCGTCAAAAAGATTGTCAAGGCTCACTCAAACTGCAACCTGAGCAAGAATGTGGACGTAATGGTTCGTCGCTCGCTGACGCGCCTTTGCACGCCCCGCTGACCCGCCCTCAGATCTATCTCGACTATGTTCTGTTCATGCAGACGTAAGTTACGTGATGTAAACCCGGTACATCCAGATGCTGACTTCCTCGATAGACTGGTCAAAGAGGCCGCCATTGAGTCGAAGAAGTCTGGCGAAAGAGGCATCACGGCCCGAAGTGTCAAGAAGGTGACCTCGGTACGTTGCACAATCACACCAACGGCAGATTTGATTGCATGGAAGGCTAACATCGGGTTTTGCAGGATACTCTCACCAAGTTCCGAGGTTGACAGTTCAACCCATCGATACCAGAGATCCAGAAGCTATTCGAGACTTACACAGGCCCATCTACTTCGCGACCCGAGGCCGTCAGTGCCATCAACTTGGCTGGATACGCCAGAATGCGATCCTGATGCTGCCACATGGTGACCAGCAACACAATAACATGCCGGGTAGAGAAGGATTATGCAAAAGATAGAATCAACCCCGAGGTTTGGGCGTTGACGCGACGGAACAGAGCCTCACCTCATGCGGGCCACCATCTTGTTCGTCGGATCGGCACGCAATGGTTGGAGCAGCAGGGCGTGGGTATTCAGTGGCCCCTTCGTCTGAACAGCACCGGCCTGGGCATCGTCAACGTTTGGATGATGACCACGACGCCCTAGTCGATGGCGACATACCGGTAGTGCGTCTCCATTGATTCGTTCATTACCATTGATGGGTGCGGGTGATGTTCGCGGCCTGATTACTACGGGGGACTGGCGCATGAGTACAGATTACATCCGTAGATAACCCCGAGGAATCTGGAAGAGCACCGGCTAGTCCCAGACAAGGCTGAAATGCCCTGTCTGGTACGTCATCCGAACAGGGAAGGCCAGGAGTTAAAGACACAGAAGATGTTGTCGCGAGGTGTAGTGCGATGAATCAAGACCCGCAACAAAGCATTATACCTAGTACCTTATCGTAATCAGGTTGCTGGGACACTCAGATAGGTGAGAGGATGCCAGATAGAACATGCCAATGATTGAAACCGAAACATGCAGTCTTGAAGACCTGAGGTGCCTCCAATGCTCCGTGGGGTCTTCGTCTTCCACCTCAGTACAAGTGAATGTACCTTTTCTTCTGAACAGTTCTAGAACCCCGGCGGGGGGAGTGGAGGCAGGGGTTTTTTAGGGGAAGGGAAGGGGAACCCAAGGGGAAAAGTAGCCTGGCGGCAGGGATGCTTCCGGCTCCTCAGCTCCTAGGAATCCACTCCCAGGTTGGATCACCGCCTGAACGCCTGAAAACCCCCCACCGAAAAGGTACCCCAGGGCCTCAGCTTCTCCCGGCCGACAGTGTCTCCTCCACTGAGGTGCGGTCCGCCCCCCGAGCTGCCTGCCTGCCGTCTACGAGCTCGAGTGCCATCTTCCGCGAACCTCCAAATTTGATCCGTCCAAAACCTGCACATCCACCTCTTCACAATAACTTCACCTCAACCTTTTCTCCCCATCACAACGCCTCTTCTCTGAGTATCCTTCTTCGATCCTAGGACCTTCTTCCTACGATTGTACGTTCCACCTCACCCTACTCTCGACGAGTTTGTTTATTTGCCTCTCACCTGCGCGCTCTTTGCCCGTAGCTGGCCACCACCATACCTGGAAAATCCCCATCCAAGCTCACGCGACCACGAACCTGTCGACTGCGCTTCTCCCAAGCTTCAACATGGCCGCCTCTCCCGTCCAGAACCCCGCGGTCCAAGCCGAATCCAAGTCGGCCAAGAAGAAGAAGGCCAAGGCCGCCGAGCGCACCGAGTCCCCTGCTCCTACTGCCTCTCCTGCTCCCGAGAAGGCTGACGCCTCCGACGAGTCCGGCGAGACTGCCTACATTCGCGAGATCCAGAAGTAGGTGGAAATCAACGATTGGACCTTTTCCTATTGTTCGTGTGCTAATTACGCCCCGTAGGAACATTCGCAACACCAACAAGAAGCTTGTTCGTGCCTACCCTTTACCTTTACCCCTCTCTGTGGCAAGGTTCATCAGCTAACTTCCCACCTACCAGACCAATGCCTCCAAGATCGACAACCTAATTGCCGAGAACGCTGGCAAGTCCCTTGACGACCTGGTCGCTGCTCGCATTATCAATGCCGACCAGAAGGCTCAGTACCTCAAGAAGCCTGCTCTGCAGGCCCAGATCTCCCAGTACGAGGAGCAGATGGCCCAGTACAAGAAGATCGACCAGGAGTACCGCACTCGTGCCGTTGCCGAGAAGGCAGAGCTGGAGAAGTCCTTCGCCGAGAAGCTGGAGAAGGAGAAGGCCGCTGCCGTCGCCGAGGTGAAGGCTCAGCAGGCTCAACAGGATGGTGATTCTAGCAAGAGCATCAACAGCAAGCTTCTCACCCTGTCACAATTCCTCCGCCTTGCTGCCGCCCGCCGCTCCGAGGATGCCGACCAGAGCAACGAGGAGAACAAGGCTCTGGAGGGTGTCCTTCTCGCCATCTACACCGGTGACGATAGTGCTGTCACCACCATGCTCAAGCTGATTGACGGCGCCGAGGAGCAGACGTACAGCGTCAACGGCGAGCTGCTCGAGACGACCTGTAAGCTCTTCCCTCGCATCTCAATTATCAATCCCATACTGACCTTCTGTGCGTAGTCGGCCAAGTCAAGACAGCTGCCAAAGCCTACAAGTCTCCTTACGATGAGCCTGCGCCCGCCGAGACCGAGACCGCCGCGACCGAAGCCGTTAGCGACCCGACCATTGCTAACGCTACTGTGAATGAGATCGAGGCTGGCGATGTTGCCATCACCAACGGCCAGGCCGAGGAAGCAGCCACCGAGACCCCCACTAACGCCAACATCGGTAGTGGCGCCGGTAACGCCGCTGGCGAGAAGTGGGACCAGTCTGCCGATAACAGCATGTCGCTTTCTCAGGAATGGGTCTCTGTTCCTCGCGATCCTACAGAGACTGAGACTGGTGTCGAGGCTACCCCCGCTGCCGTTTCCAACACCCAGTCTTGGGCTGACGACCAGCCTGAGCATCAGGAGACCCAGCCCGAGGTATGTCTCTCGCGAACTGCGATAATTGAACGAGAAACTGACTGTAATTAGACCCCTACCCCCGCTGCTGCCGACCCCAACGACGGCTTCCACCAGGTCCAGGGTCGCAACCGCGGCCGTGGCGATCGTGAGGGAGGCTACCGCGGACGTGGCCGTGGTGAGTGGCGCGGCGGTCGTGGACACCGTGGTGACGGCCGTGGAAGGGGGCGTGGCGGCGGCCAGCGCGGCGGCTCCATCTCCCAGCGTGGACCCCGCCGGACTGAAGAGTCATAGAGACGCTCTGTCCGACGGCGTTCTCTGGCCTCTCAGCGGTCATTGGGTAGGCTCAATTCCTACGCGGCGTCGCGCGTTACGCGACGGCGCATTACGACTGGGGCATGGCGACGCCCTTCGCAACGTGATTTACTACAATGGCTTTGATAGGTGTCAAGGCTGGTAAAGGAATGGATGGGTAAGGGATGTTGTTTAATGAACAATCAAGGCATTCGGTTCCCCTATTCTGGTTTCTGGGCGGTTGGCATGGCTGGCGGTGTTGGGTTGCGTGGCTTACGCTTGTACAATACACAGCATGACTTTCGGGGCCGGTATACAAAAAAACATACGGAATGAGACGTTAATACCCAAATTGATGAGACCATGCGAGTGATGAGCAGATTTAACATGAATCACTGTGAAATGGCAGTCTCACTCGGCTCAAGTCAAGACCCAAGAGGAGGCAAACTGCGCAATTGCTTAAAGATTTATGAGGCCCTTTTCGTTTTGGTTTTGAGGCTTGACATACCACGGGCAGCCAATGGCATAATGCTTCATACTATGGCTCTCCTCGCGTAGACGCCAATCCAAACCAACATGACGAACACTCAGGCCACTCGCTCAACTCGACCTACCTCATACTCTCCCAGTCCTCCTTCCTTTTCGCAGAGATCCTTACTCACTGTAAGCCGATTGTAAGAGAGGATACAGACCATGTTAAGTTTTCTGTCCGAAAGAAATGAAAGTAGGTATGCCTTACCTTAATGGGAATGGGCGTCCGTGTGAAGCTGATAAAGTTAGTGGTGTCACAGTAATGATTAATTGCTTCACTCAATCGACAGTCCACTCCCTAAAGCTATTCATAATACCGATGAATGGTGAGCACTCGCCTTCGGGTAGGCGCTTTGGGTGAAATGATACAATTTCGATATATGGATGTATTGTCTCTCACTGACGACTGAATACAAATTGAAGCTAACAGAACAATAGGTTAATTTACAAGAGCAAGGAAGGTGCTATTGATTATGGCTTAATATTTCGGACCTTGACGGTGTTAAAGACTCCAGGCGCCTACCTGGGCATGGTGCTATACTCCAAAGTAAATATAATTCTCGAGCAGTAATGCAGTCACGAAAAGCTGCTATGAGCTGACCCCTCTCCACCAGATTTCTCAGCTAGTCACATGTTAGCCAATGCTGACACTCATAGTTCTATCACTGAAATGAAGCCTACCAATCTGACTTCAAAATTGACGGCGCATCAATCCATTCCGGCACACGGGGCTTCTGAGATTGGTGACAGACATGCTGGGACTCGTACGGCTCGAGGCAGCGGGTACATAGGCGCCGGGTGAGAGATGCAGATAGGTTCGAATTATTAGAGGAGGATGAGTTGCAGTTCATTTTTGGTGGACGGTATTGTGTTGCTTCGAAGAAATGCGGTGCGTGGATAACAAATCCTCGAGATTGGATGCGAACTGCAGAAGGATTCCCGGGTTTCTTTTTATTTCCCCCGAATACCTGCCTTACATGCACTCACATGGTGATCTCGTGTAGAGCTGCTTCAGCCGATGCTACACACCACTTTGGTCTGTGATCGACCATGTCAGCAATTACAGGGCCCACGACGCCTTACAAGGCTTCTGGGACTTGGAGAGTCGAAGTGGAGGCCGCGATACTGTTAAGCAGACCGACATTCCCACCCAGGCTCCAGGCAGAAACGGAAAGGGTGGAGTGCCATCTTTGGCCTCGCCGTCCCCATCGATGCTTACGTGCGAGACGCGTATAGAGGGTCTTACTTACAGCTTACAAGGCGAACTGAAGGTGAATGATGTTCCATTGGATTGGTTGTGGGGGGTTTGCTTATGCATCTCGGGTCTGACAGAGACAGGCGTGGTGAACAGGGAGGGAATGGGCGAACCTCACGTAATCACGAGTGAGAAGAATCAGCCTCAACGATGGATGGAGGCTTGACTAGGGTTTAGATCTTGGACATTGGTCGTTACGGATAATAACGTTGACGTTGAAACTCGGTTTTGTTGTGGGTGAGAGTGAGCTCGAGACTCTGCCAGCCCCATTTCCAGATCAGAGTGGAAATATCTCAAACGTCGACTTTGGACAGCAACACTGACTGCATATCACGATATATTCTGAGAAAACGGTATTTAACCAGAAAGAGAGGTCACGTATTCGGTGCCTCTGTCTGTATTAGATGCATATGTACTCAAAAAAAAACCCTCACAAAACTCCTATACGCTTGATTTCCAAATACCTCATCATCAAAAAGACAATCATGCACGACACATCCGGCCATCAGCAGCAACATCCCACGCATCACTACCGACCGTCTTGAGCGCGTAGAACACGCCCTGGGGATCCCACTTGGTCTTGATGGTCAGCAACTTGTCATAGTTGCTACCGAAAAACTTCTCCTTCCAGTCGGGGATGTTGAAGTCGGCCTCGTTGACGTAGTTTCCAGACCCGGGCGTCGCGGCCTCGATGGGCGGAATAATCTCCTCCGTCATGGTCTTCTGGTCCGCCTTCATCTGCTCCCAGTCGGCCGGATCGTTGCTCCACGCCGTCGAGTACTGCACGTGGATGGCGGCGTTGCGGAAGTGCGGGTTCACGGCGTTGTCGACGCCCGCGGGCGCCGTGGCGTTGAGGGCCACGCCGGCGGAGAGGACGCCGTGGTTATCTGCGCCGTAGCGGATGGCCGAGACGTAGGTTGCGCGGGCGGCGGTGTCGGTGAGGACGGAGCGGGGGACGAGGCGGGAGCCAAAGTTGTAGGACTCGACCTCGACGTGACCGTAGGGGAGGGGGCCCATCCACTTGTCGTAGTGGTCACGGTAGCTCGAGTAGTTTGTGGCGGCGGAGGAGTAGGGGATGGAGAGATTGGCGAGGACGTCGAGGAAGGGCTGGAGGATGGTCTTTGCCTCCTCGGCCGTCTTGTTGTAGGCCGTGAGCGGGTTGATGGCGAAGACGTTGCTGCTGTAGAGGAAGACGACCATGGCGCCCTGGTCCGTCATGCCGGGGAGGAGGGAGTGGAAGGCGTCGAGCATCTGCCACCACTTGTCCTGGGTGGTGTACGAGGCCGCTGTCTGGAGGCCAACGCCGCCAATGGTGGCTTCAGGGTAGGCTCGGACGGTGACGGCGGTAACGACACCGAACGTGCCGGGACCGCCACCGCTGAGGGCCCAGAAGAGGTCCGCGTTCTCCGTGCGAGAGGCGGTGACGATCTTGCCGTCGGCTGTGACGACCTCGAACTCGAGCGCTTGATCAGCGGCCATGCCAAAGTTTGTGGTGAGGGCCGAGTGGCCGCCGCCCTGGATGTAGCCTCCGGCGGGACCGACAGTGGGACATTCGCCGCCGACGACGACGAGGCCGGAGGTCTTGCCGGCCTCGGTGAGTTCGTAGCCGAGAACGCCGGCACCCATCTTGATTGCGGGGCCGGACCAGAGGTCATCGGACCAAGTGGTCACGGTGATCTCCTTGAGCTTGTGGGTCCAGGCCGCGAGGGCTCCGGCACCGGTTGAGCGGCCGAGATGGCTGAGTCGTGGGTCAGCGGGAATGCTTTGTGGGCGGGAGGGTGCTCATAGGAGAAGAGGGCACGGTTTAAACTTACTCATGGCCTGTGTTGCGGACGAGGAAACGGATGTTGTTCTCCCGCGCAAAGTTGATGGTCTCGACAACATCTTGGGCAGATGTCACCTCGACAGCGTAGTTAACGTAGTTGCCGAGCAGACACGGGAGTGTGCGGTCCGTGAAGGGGTCGCAGGACTGGTTGGCGAAGTAGCTCTGCATCACGGAAGAAGAGGAGGGGAAACTGGGGGGGGTTAGTTGAGGTTCTTCGCAACTTGGGACCCAAGATGAGCTTACTGAGTCTCGGGGAGAGTCCACGAGTCTTGCAGCGCTGTGCAGGCAGCCTCATCGTAGTTGGGGTCGTGGCACACGGAACCAATGGGCACCGTGGCGATGAGCTTGCCGCTGACGGTGGTGTTGAGGGTATCCCAAGCCGTCGTGGCGGGCCAGCTGGCGTCGCCGGGGAGGGAGCGGCACGTAGCATTCTCGGCACGCTTGGGGAGAAGACCCGCGGCGGCGAAGGGCGCAGCGGCCAGGGTCGCCGTTGCGATGATGGCGGAGGATTTCATCTTGACAGGGCTGAGAACAAAAAAAGAGCGGAACGGAGGAAAGTCTTGGAGCCTTAAGGAGGGGGAGGGGGGGAAGAACCGACCCGAGGAGGGGATATTAAAGAGTGACTAGGCTGCAGGGAAGACTCCTGACGAGTTCATGAAGCGGGAGGGCCATGATGGAGAGTCTTTATATCGAGGAGGAAGCAAGCGGTTCGAGGCTTGGGTAATACCGTGTAGAAAGCTGATCGATGACCAGGGATCTGTTTGCGGCGCGACGGCGAGCTTTCCTGGCCCTGCTAGTCGGGCTGTGTTGCTTGAAGCAAGGTGCTTGAACATGGTGCTGGAGGCATGGGGGCGGATAATGGATGTCAATCTCCCTCCACGACTGGGTTGTGTGTGAGGAGGAGCGTGAGTGTGTGTCGAGAGTCGAGGAGTCGAGAGTTCTCCTCCCACGACACGTCTAGGGCCGATTGCTGGGATTATCCCCCTTTGGGCAGCATGCTCCGGGATAGTGTGGTGGCTACGGGGTAGATGCGGAGCCCCCCTTCAGCCTTTGCTCTCTCTTTTTCCCTCTCTCTCTCTCTCTCTCTCTCTCTTAGTCTCAGAGTCCCTCTCACACACATTCTCTCTCCTTGATTCCATGAGGCCTGAAGCGAGGCATGAACCAGGGCAGTTGAGTGCCATCCCACTCTGCACTTGCTTCTCGTTCGCTCTTCCGCTTGGACCCAAGGATCGACACGAGGTTCTGTTGCGTAGCACAGAAGAATTGGCATCCGTCCGGGAGCCCTCCTAAGAAAGACGGGGGAGGCTTAGATCAGAATGTCAGAAGAGGAGGGAAATGAGACGTGCGTAACCTGTCGTTCGACTGCGGCAGGCTTCTGGAAGGGTTTGTGGAAGAAAGTTGACGAGTATTGACTTTTGCATGAAATTCGAATCTCGCAAACTGCCGGGGTGCTGGTCAGAGCGGCTCGAATGGGACGAACGAACGGGATGACAGCACGAACTACAGATACAGATGCTCTGAACTTCTCAACTCTGCTCCGTACATACTCAGTATGAAAGCGAACTCGTATGGCCCCCCTGTTGGTGCAAGGTGGACTCGTGGAGTTTGCCTCGGCCCCGATCATCAATGTTCCCCTACTGGGCCAGTCGAGGTCCGATGGAGAACCCAAGAAGCCCCTGTATTTCCCCTGATCTGGATCCTTCGCGCCTGCAATCCGGGTCTCCATTCCCTTTTCGCGTGCTCTCTTCTGTTCCTGCAGCACAAGCCTGATGCTAGCTCCGTTGCTACCGTACGGATACATCGCACCGCGGACAACTGGACGATGGGGGCCGTCGCGTGTCCTTGGGCCTTTGGGGGGAAGACGGGATCAACGGGAAGGGCTGATGGGACCTATTTCTTTCTGCCCTATGCTGATTGTATCAATGCCCGCTGAGTCGTATAATAGGTGTCACGAGTGAAATTTCGGTGGTGTCTGTGTTGACTTGACTCGCTAGGTCGAGAAGCCGTCTATTTTGAGTTGAAAGAACAAAGCGTCAGCTAAGACATGCATACATAGCACCGCTTTCTGTGTGCCAGTGTGGGGGACTGACGGCATTCATCGATCAGAAAATTTCTTGTGTCTTTTCTTCTTCTTCCAATGGTTGGATGGACATGTTCCCTCTTTGGGCAAAGGGCAGACACACCGTTTTTGAGAACCAACAGCAACCGAGTTCCAACAGACTAAACAAGATCGAATCTGCCGGAGCAGAAAACAATAGTTTGCCGCCTCTCCCGTAAGTGGCCACGCCACGCAAACACATGAGGTAACACACACACACAGAAGCGGCGTTACGACTTACTTCTAAACGTGGTTCCTCCGTGGCGTCCGCTCAATAGCATCAGCCACTAGCGCCGCCGTTGCGCTTCCCATCAGGAATTAGGTGCGGCGTTTGCAGCCAATTCGAGTTTCTCAACGGTTCTCCCGCGAAGACCAAAGTTTAGATCTCTTAGCCAGACCGTTCCAAAGGGGCCCGCGATGTCACTCACTAGCCTCGGAGGCAAAGGACGGAAAAGACGCAGAGGTAAGGGGGGTTTTGGTAGTCTGGCACGTTGTGCCAACGTCGCATGTGGCGACATCGAACCATGCGCCCATATAACTTCGGCGATATATTCAAATGTCTCTGTGGTAGGCCGTCGAATGCCAACGTCCAACATTCAACAGCCCCGCAAAGGCGATGGAGAGATTCTGAAAGAGGGGAGTTGGGGTGGGATCCAACCGCAACCCTATGCGAAGCAGCGAATCTCTTAGCTTCGGAAGAGTGCCGAACCTGGCATCTTGCCGCTGCGCCTCCGAGCGTTGCAGAAGAGCAGCGGCTCGTATCCAGTTTTACTTCTCCTCTTCTCTTTCTTTGCGATTGTGCTTGTGTTTGTTTACGGAATTCAGACACCTTGCCTGCTGACCATCGCGCCAACAGAATTTGAAGTTTTTTGATACCAACACGTGCTGGTGCCAACGGGATGAGGGGCCGGGAGGCGAACCGGTGGATTCGGATGGGGATGTCTGCGCCGGGATCATCTCGGGGATCAAGTCTTCTTTCGAAGCTCGTGCGCAACGTTAGTTTGATGGAGTTTCTACCTTCTCTAGACTAACTCGGAGGGGGGCCTAGGAGGCTGACGCAACTTCTTACCATGTCTGCATGTGTATACATCCCGATTGTGGGGGCCATTTTTATCTACGGATACGTCCTATCCTCCTTTGGTACTGTTTCTCTGTCTCCTTCGGGAAGGAAGATATGAGGCTCTGCCCATTGTTGTCGTCCTCTATCCGTATCCTGCAGCTATTGTCCGCGGCATGGTGGCCGTGGCCTGGGTCTATCGGTGTTTGCCAAGTCCTTAGACGATGTTGCACTGCAGACAATCCACAGATCCCGGAGAGGTCTGGTGGTGGCAATCACCCCTCACGTGGACAAATGTTTAGATTCCGAGGTTCTGTCCACTGAATGCTACTTCGAGAAACACGCGGTCCACATCCGAGTAGGCTAGCTCGCCATCAGCTCGGAGAGATACACAACGGCTGAGGCTTATCACGACGCTGCTGCCGGCTGTCAGCTGTCATTGTCAAGTTGAACAGGTAGACAGGGTCGGCCGCCGGCAGGGAGCTTGTCTTCGGCGACAAGACCCCAATTCAGATGGGTTTGCCGATGGGTGAACCCTGAGAAACGTCTCAGGTACGTCTTCGCTGTCGGTGAATTGCCATGTCCGAATGGAAAACGATATGCCGGATTCTGGACTCAGTCTATATTTTCTCTTGCGGCATTAAACTTTTGCAAAGGAGGCGCAGAGTGGTTTGAGAGTCGGCGGAGACTTGGCATGAGTTTAGTTAAACAATACGGTGAGTCCTGTTTACTACCCCACGTCTAAGTGAGTTATCAAATGCCGCTTATGAAAGCTGCTTCTCCGCACATTTATATTTACACTTTTTGATTCAAGGCAGTGAACGATGAGAGATCGGGGATTGTTTTTGCCTAACGTGGTGCTATTCACCTTTGAGGAATACGCACTCCCCTGAATCACTAAATGCTCATGAATTTTCTCCCGCAGACTTCATCAGAAATCTAGTGCCTTCCCATCTTAACAACAAATATCGGGCTGATGGCCGAAATGAGAACGTCGTCAAGTCGTGACCGGGCTGTGATGGTCAGGTCTGCGTTCGAACCTCGGCTGGCTCCTGTTGTTTTTGCTTTTTGATTACATCCAGATCTATAATTGAACTTCTGCCGTTGCATGAGGTAGGTAACGTAGTATATTCTCATCAGTAGCGGGCTGAATGCCACTCACCAGTTGACCTTTTGCCCCATTCTTGTTGACCACATCTATGAGCTACATGTAGCATTCGCTTGGCACAGTCGTGCTCGGCAAGTCCAGTGCTACCCAAGGCAAGGTAAGGGGATTCTCGAGATCGTGACACACTTGGCGGCGGGTGCTTATGGGACGCTGCCTTAACTTAGCTTGTATTACTTGCGGAGTTGAGCGGGACTCGAGGACTTGTGTGAATCAGTCTACGATTCCCTCCAAATTGCCCTTAGCTACGTGCCCCTGGATCCTTTTTTGACAGGAGAGAAGAATTCACCCAAGTGCCTCGCGCTTCCTAGGTAGCAGTACCATTCTCACTGCACTATTCAACCCTTCCCGCCTGGATCCAGATCGACAAGAAGCCTTTCTGCTTGGAAGAACGGCCGCTTGCCTTCGAATGCAAGGGGTCTATATTCGAGTACGTGTACGGATGCGTGCAGCTTGCGTGCCGTGCCGCTCATTGCGAAGGCGATTTACCGCAATCATACACTGGGAGTTCCCAACGATCTGGGAGGGATTTGCTTGCTGTGCAATGATTGACAAAATATTTGGTCAAACACCAGATGTAGAGACACATACTCGGGGACCCATAGTCTTTCTACGAGAAGCAACTCATCACGGGCGGCCGTGGGATGTGAAGATTTCTAATATCGACTTAGAAACTTAAACGCTTAAACTTCGTATTGAGTTCATTGACGATTTCAAATAAAGGCCACAAATGGCGACCCAAGAACGCGCCCACTCGAATCAATCTTCACGCCTTCTTTCCTCAAAAGCATCCTCTTCTCATCAAGCGTAATGCCCTCCCCATTCTTCGGCCACTTGCCCTTGAACCCACCCAACGCACCGCCCGTAGCAACGACCCGGTGACACGGCACCTGCGGCGCGAACGGATTCCGGCGTAGCGCATTGCCGACGGCCCTCGGAGATGACTTGAGATGAGCCGCTAGGATGCCGTATGTCGTGATCTGGCCCTTTGGTACCTGGCACAGCGCGGTCCATACTCGTTTCTCGTACGCTGTGCGATTTGAGCTGGTGATGCGGTCTAGTTGTACCTTCATGCCTTCGCCTTCGGGGATGGAGATTGAGATGATGTCGCGCGCGGCGGGTGTCTTCTTGGTGGTGGTGGTGGATGTGGTTGTCATGGCGATGGTGTAAGTGAGGGCGGAGTGAGAGGATATTGATGAAGACGTAGTGAGCTCTAGTATTTATATCTGTCGCAGAAGATTTTCTTTGAGTGAAGAAGAGTGTTACTGAAAGAAAATCGAGGGGAATCGAGGCAATAAGGTGTTTGAAATGGGTTCTTTTCTGAGCCAACGGCGAAGGGTGAGCAAAATGTCAAGACAAGGGCGCGTCGCAAGCGCGACAGTCCAAGCGGGGCAATTCGACGCGAACTCGCGGGGTCATGTGACTTCACACTTAAGTAAAGCGAACAGCGACTTCTACCACAGACGACACCTCTAGTATTGAGGGAAAGAACACCTATCTAAGGTAAGGGAGGTAATCTTTAAATGAAGAGCAAGCTTCGATTAACACTCTCACTGGGAGGGACTCAGAATGTCCAAAGGAACTTGTTCAGGTAATCTCCAAGAGGTCTAAAGGACTAAAAAAGAGTTCACCACCGGTGTGGCTACATCTCTTGGTGCTCAAGCTGGGATTCGAACTCGTATGCGCTAAGCCTGTCGTCGAGTAGGCTAGTTGGCGTAGAAGTCAATTATTGACCATTGACCATTCCACCACCTAGCCAGTTTGACCTGACCCGTCGACCTAGACGGGCGCCTGCTGGTGACAGGAAAGGACTTGGAGGGGTATATGAAAGCTTTGGTGGTGGTATATTCCGTGTATATTCAGATGGAAGGTACTGGCCAGGCGGGTGGTTCATGGAGTATCAAAGCAGTTCTCTCATGGGCTTTTAAGTTCCTTGGGTAATGCAAGATGCAGGGCTATTGGTGGTTTTGCATACCATAGTATTTGTACGGGGTATCGGTGACATCTAGACTTTTCAGACCTGATTCCATAGTATGATCTTTTCCCCCAATAACGCCAGAATGAGGTAACGCAATCCTAATGGTGCAGTCTTGGTGATTGTAGCTATACCACCGCAAGCTTCAACGAGACCTCGGCAGCGGAAGTCCAACCCGCAACCTCAATCCACACCCAAGCCTCCACAAAACCTCTTAATCACCAGTGTCAACCTCAAGATCTAGCTGCACACCGTTGCTAACACCATAATCCTCCAGCGTGAGATTATCCTTGAACGGCCGTTCGCCCTGGCGCTTCAGCAAGATCTCATGCGGCTCCCGCCCGACCCGTTGCGCCACCATAATCTTGAACATCTTCACCGGGTCCGAGGCCAAACAAGGGATCGCAGCCTTGGTGCCGAGACGGTCATTGACGTGCACGATAATCATCTCCTCGCCGCCGCCCGCAGCCGGCGCGGGCGCAGCCTTCTCCTTCTTGGGCTTCGTAGGCGCATCTTTCGAGCTCGAGGCGCTGGGCCTGTCCCTGTCTCTGCCTCCGTCCCTCTCTCTTTCTCGATCTCTGCTGGCACCAACGCCGCCCGAGTCGCGGGGTCTGTAGTTGTCGTCACCGCCGCGGCGGTCGTTGCGGCGATCTCTGTCCGAGTCGCGATCGCGGTCGCGACGGGGAGAGCGGGATCGGTTACGGTAGCCTCGCTCGAGGCCTCTTGGCTCGTCGCGGTCGTCTCTGCGGCTCTTGTCTTTCCATTTGAAACCGCCTTGTTTTCGCGGTCTATCTCTGTCTCTATCTCGATCGCGCCGAGGCGAGCGCGATCTTGATCGTGCTCTGTCGGCCATCTCGAGGTGGGTGGAGGGGTGGTTGATGTTGGGAGATGGAAGTCGAGAGCTTGGCTTGCTGTAGTGCACTGTGACCTCACCGTAGGCTCGCAACTGATGCCCCACCAGGTGCGGTGTGGGTCCCGTCTGAACAGTAGCCCCATAACATACCGTGATTACATAATCCCGAATACCTTCCTCCCCGAAGCTCCATGGCTGGCTCTTCTAACATCTAATACTCCGTATGTTGAAAGAAAGAAATCACCTTGTTATACTGCTTTGAACATGATCACGTGGGAGAATGTCATGCTTGGAGAACCTCGACTTCTTTCCTTTGGAGTCTATTCTATAACTTGTAATGCAACCTCTTTTTCTCTTCTTTACTCCTCTAGGGCATTGGAGGAAATAGCCGTCACAATCCTGTTTGCCAAACTCTCCAACATGTCGGTGCCTTGTGAAGACGCTTCAATCTTTGACTCTTCAATTGACTCAAGAATCGTCTTGATGCCAAGACCAATCATATCCGACCGGGTGTCGTTGCGCACCGATTGGATGACGGTCTGGATGTCATTGCCGCCAAACATTCCTGACTGGTCCAGGACTTGAGCGAGTTCGCGTACATCGGAGATGGCGGGCACCGGAATCTGTCTGCGGAAATGCTTGAGAACACCCAAGTTGCTGAGTACAAAGCGTTCTGAGGTGGTGACCATGATGAGAATACGACGACCCTGGACGGAGTTAGTAAGGATTCAAAAAAAAAAAAAAAAGTAAACGCGAGGGATTTCAACTGACCTTTGGCGGTTGGGTCTGGATGAGGGAAATAAGTCTGTCGAGCACCGTGTTGGAAAAGCGTGGCCCGATGGGGTTCCACTCAATCAGTTGCTCAAAGTTATCCAGAATCACGATGCTGCGCTCTGACTTGTAAGCGTCCGTGAAGACCTTGGTGAGGTGGTCCTTCTTTCCAAACTCATCTCGGAAAGCCGTCAAGTGCTGAGGCGAAATAAGCTTGACAAAGGGGAAGTCTGAAAGGGAGGCAGTGTGGGCGGCCAGAGCAGTCTTGCCTGACTCTGGCGGGCCGTGGAGAAGAACCGGTATCCTGTTGAGGACGTCTGACTCCTTGACTGTGTCGATATAACCCTGCATCGTGCGAATGATGGCGGGAATGTTGTTGTTGAACTGAAGAATTCCCATGCCAAGGGCATTTGCTAGCTCGTCTTCAGAAACACCATACGCAGGCTTGACTTCTGTCAGTGCGTTATCGAAATCATCCATGGTGATCTTCATCGCGGATACATCATTCTTCATCTTGGCGCTGTTGCCGACCTCGGTGTGACGGTTGAAGGCGAATGAAGTTGCAGCCTTGACGACACCAGAGATCTCGGCACCAGAGTAGTTCTTGGTGCGAGCTGCCAGGGAGGCGAGGTCAACCTTGGAATCCATAATGTTGTTGTCCCGCATCTTGGCAGTGTGGATCATGAAGATTTCCTTGCGTCCGTCTTCGTTGGGCAAGCTAATCTCCAACTGAACCTCCAAACGACCGGGACGCAAAAGCGCCTCGTCGATCATGTCCTTTCGGTTGGTCATACCAATGAGGAGGATGTTGTTGAGCTGGTCAACACCATCGAGCTTGGTGAGAAGCTGGTTGACAACACTGTCACCAACACCAGTACCGCCACCGGCACCGGAGCCTCTTTGCTTGCAGACGGCATCCAGCTCGTCGAAAATGATAATGTGAAGACCACTCTGGTCACCCTTCTCCTTGTACTCCTTCTCAGCATCCGCGAACATCTTTCGAATGTTCTCTTCGGATTGACCGACAAACTTATTAAGCACCTCAGGACCGTTGATAATCTTGGGCTCACGAGCGTTCAGCATCTTTCCGATTTGTCTAGCGATAAGCGTCTTTCCGGTTCCAGGGGGACCGAAGAGCAGGATACCCTTGACGTGCTGAATACCTAGCTTCGCTACCAGCTGGGGAGGGAAGACACGAGAAGCGAAGGCTCTGCGGAAGATGGTGGCGAATTCGTCCTGGAGACCGCCGATACCCATATCCTCAAACTTGAAGTCTGGCGAGATAATGGGGTTGGCGTTTCCCTGGTGCTCACCGACTTGAAGCTTCATATCCGACTCGGCACCCTTGAAGAAGGACAGGAGCGTATTCGTGCTGAAGAATCCGCGGGCAGAGGGATCCGATGATGTGACAACGGCGTCGGGACCCTTGCCGCCCGCAAAAGTGATAGTTTTAACGGTAGCGAAGATCTTCAGGCCTTCAATGTCGAGCAGAGTGCGCTGACCGGGGGCGAAGAAGTGCATCTGGAAGAAACGCTCAAAGACCTTGGCCAAGTATTCGTGCTTGAACTCGTAGTTGGGATCTCTCTTCATCGAGGCCCAAGACAGCTCCAGGTCCATGGCCTCGAGGTGAGTAGCACCTTGTCTGTTCGCATCGTACACCTCACCCTCGAAGGTGTCCGTCATTCCGATCTTCAGCCATGATCTTTGCGGGTCAGACAGACTGATCGTACCCTCGGGGAGTTCGGGTGTTGGCCGCGCTCTGACGACGTTCTCTCGTACTGTTCCTCGGACAGGGTCTCTGGCTCGAATCAGGACGTTGATGTCCTGGCCGTCGCGGCTCGGGGCGAAGTCTCGGTAGCTCACACCAGCGCTGGGCAAAAGTTAGCAGCAGAAGAGGGACTGGGTTCCGGATATGCTTACACGTTGGCATAAATGAGCTGGGTCTGCAGGGCCTTGTCCCTGACCTTCTCGATCCTCAGCCGCACACCGGGCTGTCTCGGTGACTGCGGCTGGCCGCGGGGGAGCGGCTTCTCGGGGAAGCTCATGTCTGAGGCGCTCGGTCGGTGTGGGAGAAAAGGATAGATCGCTGGGTTGTGAGGTCGGTTATGGATTCGTACAGTTGGGTTGGTTGTTGTGTTTCCCTGAAGAGGTACTGAGGAAGACGGTGAGGATGACGAAGGGGAGGTTATGTAGGTGGAATGGCGCATGTTGGAGGGGCTGCGCGGCTTCGTCTTCGCTTCAAGTCCCCTGGGCCCCGGGGAGCGCTAAACCTTGTTTGGGCCAAATGGACACAAGGCGAAGCAGGTACGTATAGAGGGGACCCTTACCTTACCCTTGCTGCAGCGAATGGCATAGAAGATGCGCTGATGCTTATGTGGATCCATCTAGTGGTTTGTAACCGTGTTCAATCTGTTTCAACTCTGGCCAGTTTGAGAATGCTCCAGATGTCTTTTTCCCCGTCCATTTCTTTGCATACAGGAGTATTGCTGCCCGTGCAACTTGGGTGTAAGAATGTGTCCAATCATATCCCAGCTTAAAGTTTGTATCATGACATTCTAGGTAATATGAAGTATTTGAACAGGGTTTGACATTGACAAGGGAGTTGTTCAGCAACTTGTGGCATCTGCAGACTGACGGCGGGAAGGTGCAAGTCAAAGTGATGTGGGGGCATGCCGCTGCCGTCGCTGCTCCGGACCCACTTCAGGTGTCCAGCTGCCTCCTGACTAATGACGTCGATTGGTTCGTAAACCACTAGCAGTCTAATCCTTTTCGGGACATCCTCACTCGCACTCTGGGACGGCCTCAAAGTGACATTGTTCACCAGGACATATCTCATCAATAGCTTTCTGAAGCTTAATCCCAATCCCTAAATCGATCAAAATGCCGTTGTAAGTCTAAAAATAGTCGAACAGAATTTAGCCAGAGACTAACGAACCAACAGACATCTACTGGGCAAAAAGTCTTGGAACGTCTACAATGCAGACAACATCGCCCGTGTCCGTCGCGATGAGGCAGCCGCCAAGGCAAAGGAGGAGGCCGAGGAGCAGCGCATGCAAGAGGTCGATGCTGAACGCCGATTAGCTATTCTACGGGGCGAGGAGCCTCCACCACTGCCGCCAACAGAGGAAACTCCTGAGGAAGAGCCAAAATCTCGGGACCGGGATGCCGGATCTTACGGCAGGGAAAGAAAGAAGCGCAAGCGCGCTGGCGAAGACGACACTGAATTTGAGTTGCGCGTTGCGAGAGAGCGTTCAGACGTCGTGCAGACGGCCAACGAGACCTTGCGCAAGTCTACCAGCTCTGCGCCGATCGTCGATGCAACGGGGCACATTGACCTCTTTGGCGAAGAACGAAAACAGGGTCGTCACCTGAAGAACGAAGAGGCGGAGAAGGAGGCTGCAAAGAAGAAGAAAGAACTCGAGGACCAGTACACAATGCGATTATCAAATGCCACTGGCAAGGACGGCATGGTCGGCCCTTGGTACGCAGCATCCGGTTCAAGAGCTGAACTAGCAGAGCTCGAGCCAGCGGGCAAGGACGCATTCGGCAACGAAGACCCAGGGAGGAAGAAGAGAGATGAAAAAAGGATAGTAGCGAGCGACCCTCTTGCAATGATGAAGATAGGGGCATCGAGAGTGAGAGAGGTCAAGAAAGAGCGCCAAAAAATTGAAACCGAGCGGCAGAGGGAGCTCGAGCAGCTGCGCAAGGAGGAGAAGCGAAAGGAGAGACATGAGCGGCGGAGACGAGAGCATTGCAGGGATGAAGACCGTCACCCTCAAGATAGGTCTCGTGAGAAGGACGATGATGAAGCCAGATCCCGTTCTAGGAGGGACAGCGAACGCCGTCATCGGTCCAGTCGAGATGATGAGCGACCTCGGAGTAAAGATCGTCACCATGAAGTGAGAAGTCGCCGACACGAAAGAAGGGACGAAAGCGATAGGCGATCCAGAAGAGATGAGAGGAGCCGCCATGAAGAAAGAGATGAGAGGAAGCAGGAACGAAGCAAACGAGACTCTGATTCACGACAACGAATTGACCATCGGCAGCCAGGAGAGCTTCGAGAGCCAAGGAAGTTTTAATTACAACAGTAAAACCGAAATATCTATCTACAAGAGAAGGGCAGAAAGTAGCTACTCATGATACCGAAGCCAAGTTAGTCACGGGCGATAATCGAAACACCACCCTTAGTCCGAAAATATCAGGCCGACTTGCACAACTTGCCACTGTTGAGGTTGTAGTCCCAAGCATCGCTTCCGACACCCGACAAGACGAACAGACTCTCCGTGGGGTCATATCTGCTTTTAATCTCAACCAAACGGTCGTAAGAAGTACCGTAAAAGTCCTCCTTGAACATGGAGTCAAAGGCGTTGCCCTCGTTCATGTACGAGCCAGCACCTGGTGCCCACTCACGCCAGACAGGCTCCTTGGTCTCTTCCAGCCACTGCGCGACACCATCGAGAGCCTCCTGCGGCGCTACGCTAAGATCTGCTGAAGCGCCGTAGCTCATCAGGTGGATGTACGTCGAGCGCCACATCGGGTTGAGGGCACCGCGCATCACCTCGGGAACGTTGCGAGGTCCCAGCCCGCCCTGGAGACCGATAACCATTAGGGAGGTACCCGTGGGGTTCTGCGGCACATTGAGACGCTGGAGGTACGAAGAAACGGCAGACACTGAGGTATCCAAAAGTTCCTTGCGTCCGAGAAGGCGACTCGTCAGCATGCCAGCTCCGGATGCGCTGGGCGACGTGTTCAGGCTCTCGAAAAAGGTCATGAAATCAGGCTGCGACGACGGCTCGCTCAGAGTGACGGTGACGGAGTTTTCCCCCACATCAGCAAGGATTCGGGCTCTGACGGGCTCGAGGAGCGAAGTCATCTTCTCCTCTGTCGTGTTATACGCAAAGAAGCCGATGGAGGCGGTCACCTTGCGGACAGTCTCGGACGAGTTGGCCGGCAGAGCTCCAGCACTGACCATGCCGGTTCCCGTGATGGCCGCATCCATCAGGTCAGGAACGCTGGCGAGCAGGACCGCGGCACCTCTCCAAGCCGCCTCTCTGGAGGCAGTGTCGTTGCCGACGGCGGACACTTCGATGCCGCTGGAGACCACGTTGCCCGGCGGGGGGTTCGCCTTGATGACGTACTCGGAGACGAGACCATACTGACCGGCGCCTCCGCCGCGGACAGCCCAGAGGAGGTCCTGGTTTTGCGCCTCGTTGGCAACGAGGATTTGGCCGTCGGTCGTCACGACGCGCACTTGCAGGATCTGGTCTGCTGCGAGGCCGTATGTGCTCGAGAGGGGACCGTGGCCGCCTCCCTGCATGTGTCCGCCGACTCCGACCGTCTCGTCAACGCCCCCGACAACGACTTTATCGAATTCGGCTGCTCCTCGGGAGGCGGAGCCCCAGTTGTGACCGCTTCCCAGGGTGAGTGCCGCCTCGGTTCTGTTGTCGCTCGGGGATCTCCATTCGGGGTGGTACTCGAGTTGCTTGAAGTTGTGAGTCCAGATGGATAGCGAGTAGGCGCCAGAGGATCTGATGTCAAGTTAGTAAGTGGAAGTTCTGAGAGTATAATGCGGTCGCCTTACCGGCCGTTGAGATCGTGCCCGGTCCCCTTGATAACGATACGAATGTTCCGCGAGCTGGCCCAGCCCATGGCAGTGGCAATCTGCTCCTCCGTCGTGGCATTCACAATGTACTGTGGCGAGCCTCCAATCTCACAGCCCTTTGCCCCAGACTGACTTGGAGGGAGACACGAGTTATTGGCGTAAATGGGGGAGTCTATGGACTCGGGAAGCGAGGCGTGGTAGTAGGAGTATCCCCATGCCTTCTCGACGTCTTCGCATGACTGCGAGGAGCCAAAAGGGTTCCCGGCGTAGCAGGAGGATGCGGCAGGTTGAGTCTTGATGAGAACACCGTCGATGGTTGCGTTCAGCGCCGACCAATCCTCGTCGGACGGCCATGTAGCGTCGGCAGGGGTGGTTTTGCACGTCTGCTGGGCGGAAGCGCCCAAAGCGCAGACGGCGGCTAGGACCGAAATGGCGACTTTGACTGCCATTGTGGTAATGAGAGAAGATGCCGGGCTTGTCTGCTTGCTAACTGTGGTATGCTACCGATAGAGAAAGCCATGAAACCGTCTTGGAGACCATCTTAATATCAGAACGGAGCAATCTGCCATGTCCTGTTTTTCGTATCGTTGAACGACATTTCATCAATACCGTATTGTGAACAAGTACCTTGTTATGGAAGAAATCCATGCAGGAAAACAGTGAACCGCAGGTCCCAGGGGCATGTTCACCATTGCTATGTTACAGAGTCCCAATGGCAATTTCGTCACAACCCCAGTCGTCCAAGTCCAAGTTCCATCTGAACGGAGAGGCTCCATGAAGGCTATCTCAATGGTGTGAAAAGGTCGTGAGGGTTTCTTCCGAGCCCCCCGAGACACGTACTCCATGCCGTGGTACGTGCGACAAGGCATAAGGAAACGGAGTACCAAAAGGAAAAGTCCAACACGATTGGTGTTCATGATAACGATATGCCCTCGGAACCACCTCCTAGACTGAGCGAGGTCGGCCGTAGGCTGCGCCAAGCATGGGTGGCTCCATGTGATCGGCCATTTGCCGGTGACCCTGGACGGAGTACACCAGTGTAGAGGAATTAGAATCTAAATCCCAGTCATCGAGTGTACTCGTTACTGAGTCGTTCATGCCAGGACAAGGGCGGGATTGGGTAAAACTAGGATTTAAGGCTGGAGACTAAAACAGGGGCGGATTTCGCAGCGCCAAAATAATCGTATTGAAAACGAGTGAATTTTCGCATAGAATACGGAAATGTTTTGATTGGTCCGTAACCACGATTCAGGGACGAGGGAGACCCCCCCGCTGACGACTTACACGCACCAAAGCATCACACTACGGAGTATCTAACCAGATGACATTGAGCAGCAGCGTCTAGAAAATGTGCGTCTCTTCTTTCCAGAAGTCTCAACCAGTCTTGGCAAGGATAAAGATTCATTGACTTTTTCATCCCCCCGGAAAGGAGTACCGAGATTCGTTCCTCCTCCTCCCCTCCCCCTCCATTCTTCTCTCAAACCCCTACCTACCATCCATCAGTCTCCAATTCTTCTCTTCCCTGAATCCGACATCTTTCTCCTTCTTCTAGCCAGCATATCAACATTCTTAGACTCTCTATCATCTACGACCTTACAGCTCGCATACGAGCCATACATCACAAACCAAACCATGAACACAGACTACTGGCAACTCTCAGGCGCCTTCGGCCTCTGGGTCCGCGCCGGCATCCGAATCCTCCAATTTGCCTTCGCCATCGTCACGATAGGCCTCTACGCCGCCACCCTCGGCTCCTGGAACACTCTGCCGACACAAAGCCTCAGCAGAACAAACTGGATCTTTGCCCTCGTCCCGGCCGTCCTCTCGGCGCTGACGTGCGCCTACCACGTCTTCGCGACAGTCACGCACGCCGCATGGTCCGTATGGGATTTCGGGCTGGCCGTCCTATGGGCCGCACTGTGTGGTCTGTCCTCGTCTATTGTCGTGGGCGGCGAAGGGAAGGGCAATGTCTCGGGCGATGTCAAGTCGAGACTTGCTGCTGGGGCTTGGATCGCGGGGATTAGCATGCTATTGTGGCTGCTGAGCTCCATTCATGGGTGTGCGTACTGTTGCGCATCGAGGAAGATGAAGAGGACGGTGAAGAAGCAGGAGGCGGAAGGAGATAAGCTTGAATTGGAGGGTCTTCCCAATAGCCGGGAAGAGAACGTCTAGGCGGACTGCGGTTATACAATTGTCTACAGTACACACTGGCAAGGTGTTGGGACACATCGGCGGATAGTAAGTGGTTTTGATATATAGATCTATCGAGTTTTCGAAGCGTTAAAACTCATGAGATGTGACCAGCTGAAGCACATCTTGATTTCGACAGTATCTGGCATCTTTTGGAAGAAACTCGTAGACTGGGAATGAGATGGGTTGAAGAACTACTGAAGAAATGACAGAGAGGTTCATCAGACTTTTCAGATTGGCAAGGAACACCTCCTTTCGCCCTACGGTCACTCCGAAACAGCGAGACTAGCTCAGTTTCGGGCCGCTCATTTCGTATTTATGACATGCCTAGCTAAGAGGTAAAAACCAGATCCACCGGCTAAGCTGGGAGTAGCCGGCTTCTGACGCGGCCTTACCTAGGAGGCTATGCGGCAAGGTACTATGTAAGGTATGCTTAAGTCTTCTTTATATGGACTTGACCCTGCCCCTCCCCGTCTCCTACCTTAGTCTCCCGTACCTTTTTACTACCCACTCTCAACACCACCACTCTCAACACCACGCAGCTTCTCAGGCGTGAACTACACAAACATGGAAAGTGAAAAGAGCGAGATATTCGGATCGTCTAGGGAGTCAAAGGCTTCGGTCTTTGGTCTCGAGGACCTCTACCCCGAAGGTAAAGCAACCCAAAGACTGCAGTATCCCTGAAAACGAAGGCTTAACACGGTCTTGAACAGAAGACGAACCATCCAGCTCAACGCAAGCCGAAGATCAGACACCACCCGAGTACACACCCCAATATACACCTCAACGCCAATGGCCAATGCCCCTCAACATCGTAGTCCAAGTCGTCGGCTCCCGAGGCGACGTCCAGCCCTTCCTCGCCCTCGCCTCGGCCCTCCAGAAAGCAGGCCACCGCGTCCGCATCGCAACACACCCCCAATTCTCCTCCTTTGTCCTCGAATCCAATACCTCCGTCCCAGCCTCTTCGAATAAGATCGAGTTCTTCCCCATCGGGGGCGACCCAGCCGACCTAATGGCCTACATGGTCGAGTCCCCGTCCCTGATCCCCAAAATGTCCCAGATCCGTGCAGGCATCATCCAGCGGAAACGCGACATGTATGTCGAGATGCTCGACGGCTTCTGGCGGTCGTGTATCCACCCAGACCCTCTGTCCAACGTACCCTTTGTCGCCGACGCCATTATTGCCAACCCGCCGAGCTTCGCTCACGTGCACTGCGCCCAGGCGCTGGGGATCCCGGTGCATTTGATGTTTACGATGCCGTGGAGCAGCACCAAGGCGTTTCCCCACCCGCTGGCGAATATTGGGTTCTCGAAGGCGGATAAGAAGAGTACGAATCATGCTTCGTATGCTGCTGTTGAGTTCTTGACGTGGCAGGGGTGAGATTGTCTCTCTTTGCGTGCGAGTGACTTTGATGACTGACGGTGAAATAGCTTGGGAGATCTTGTCAATGCGTGGAGAGTCCAGTCACTTGGCTTGGAACCAGTGCCGTCTACCGAGGGACATCGTATACTAGAAAGTCTGCAAGTCCCGTTTACATACTGTTGGTCACCGTCTCTCGTGTCCAAGCCCAGCGACTGGGGTCCGCATATTGGTAAGTATGCCATCGAGAACTTTCCTCTAAAGAGTCAACCTAATCAGGAGCAACAGACATCAGCGGCTTCTTCTTCCGCGACCCTGCACCGTATACACCACCTCCAGATCTCGAAGCCTTCCTCAAGGCCGGCCCGCCACCCATATACGTCGGATTTGGGAGTATCGTGGTCGGTGGGATTGGGGGGCTCATGACCATGGTCCTTAGCGCCATCAAGGCAACGGGCGTCAGAGCCATCATTTCGAGAGGCTGGAGCAACTTGAACGGCGAGGAGTCGGACAACGTCTTCTATGTGGGCGATTGTCCGCACGAGTGGCTATTCCAGCAAGTCGCTGCCGTCATCCACCACGGCGGCGCCGGTACCACGGCCTGCGGACTGAGATACGGAAAGCCTACAACCATCGTTCCCTTCTTTGGAGAGTACGAAAGAACCCCACCCAATCACTAGTTACTTGTTCGTTTCCTCACCACTTTTGACTGATACGTTTCTCACAGCCAACCGTTCTGGGGCGCCGTTGTAGCAGAAGCCGGCGCCGGACCAGATCCCATCCCCTACCGCTCCCTCACATCCCAAAAGTTAATCCAGGCCATCCAGCTCTGCCTCTCCCCGGACGCCGTCCGATCAGCCAGAAAGCTCGCAGACTCGATGGAGAAGGAGAACGGCGTCCAGGCCGCCGTCGACGCCTTCCACGCCAACCTGCCGCAGTCAAAAATGGGCTGCGATTTTTTTCTCTGATCAGCCTGCGGCGCTGATATACGGCAGAGGGAAAAAGCAGGTCAAGATGTGTCGGCCCGTCGCGTCCATTTTGGTCAAGAATGGGAAGCTGCAGCGGAAGCAGCTCAAGTCGTATGTGGCGATATATACCTTACCCTTGGACTTTATCCAAGACCCCCTTTCCCACTGACGTTCTTCTTCTACAGATACCGGTCGAAACCGACAAATATTGAAAACCAAAGATGGGACCCCCTAACCGCAGTGTCAGCAGCCTCCCTCTCGACAATCGTCAAAATGGCAGGCGCCACGGCCGACATCATCGTGAAGCCTTTTGAACAGTATAAACGCACTAGCGAGTCCGGCGAGAACCTTGAAGATCAAATGGAGAACACACGGAGACACAGCCAAGCGCCCGCGTTCGCCATGCTGCCTCTGCCCGGCGTCGGGGTCTCAGACGGAGCAGTAGCAGCGGCGGAGAAAACACCCTCGGATATGACTATAGCTCGACCACCGCCATCCAGGGGTAGTCAAGAATCATCTTCCGGTGGTGCAAAACCGGGCGCAATGGCAGCGGCAGCGGCTAACGGCGTGGGAAAACTCGCGGGCAATGCGACAAAGGGCCTGCTCGTCGACATACCCCTCGCCGTCACCGAAGGTCTCCGCGCAGTACCCAACCTCTACGGCGATACCGTACGCAAGCACGACGCCGTGGAAGGGTTCCGCAGCGGCGTTTCTGTGGCGGGCAAGACGTTCTGCCAGGACATGAAGGGCGGTCTAACGGATATCTTCATCCACACGTACACTGGCAAAAAAGAGCAGGGTGCACTGGGCGCGGCGAAGGGGTTGGGCAAAGGCGTGGTTAGTCTTGTGACGAAGAGCACTGCCGCGACGTTTGGGTTGGTGAGTTATCCTGCGCAGGGGATTTATAGAAGTATTTGGGCTGCGTCGTATGCGGATACGAGGAGGAGTATTGAGGATGAGAAGTTGCTTGAAGGGGACTGGATGGTTTCCATGAGCCCCGGGTGGAAGATGGATCATGCTGCTATTGTGGAGGATTTTGAGGGTATGAGAGGGACGAGAGGGCAGTGATGGGTTGCGTTTACCTCGTGGAATGCTAATAGTTGTCAGCAACTGGTTGATTCTGATTGTTCGTTAGGAAGCATCTTGTAAGGCGTTGCAAGGCATTGCGGTAGGCTTCTTGGATGTGGACCAGGGTGGCCGAGATTGAATCAGGAACCAGGCCTTGATCTTGACCATCGTCATCCTACAGTTGATCCTCACAGGTTGGTTATTCTAGAAGAATTCGATAGCTTATTTTTTTCGGGCTGTTTTACCTTGTCGCCGTGCCTAATACAGCTCCTCCACATATAGGGTCAGTATCGTGACCTCAACACAGCCATTGCCACAACAGCCTATACGGGATCGTGGCAGTGATCTACAAAATTATGGTGACACGGATGACTAGGCACCACGCACTGTTAGTCAGTCGCTAGTCAACCTTGTACAAGATTGGAATGACGATGGAATTGTCAGATCGTGGACGAGAGATGTACCGCGGCTTAGGGGTGGCGGAAAAGGAAGGCTTCTGGAAGGATTCGATAGTGGGGCACTTGTTGGTGGCTGAGCTTCATAGGGAATATTCGGAGTAGTAAGATCTACAATTAAATGGAAAAGAGCTCAGCTACTCCCACATTTGCACAGCAAGTTTGACGACATAGTAAGACGACAAGGATGGTGTAGATTGGACTTCAGTCAACCATTTAAGCCTTGTGGAGTCTGCGTCCGCCCTGCGTACGAAGTAAGCATGTGACGAAGGTTATGGGTTCGAGGTGGAGACGGTCTCGCCGGATACTGGATTCGGTGAGACTCGGGCAACGATCGCAGTCGCCCGCGGGTCGCTACCGGAGATTGCTGTTGGTTTATCGGGATAAAGGCGGAGGATCGGCCGTGATTTTGGCCAATCCGGCGCACGATGTCAAATATCTCAAAGATATGGATGGGCAGTGGCCGACAAGCAGAGATGGATAGCTGTCGCTCAAGTTCGCCGGGCGACAAATATTGGCGGGGCAGTGCCGTGTCACGCGTGCCGACGAGACGCTAGGGCCACTTTCGGAAAGGTGGACACATACGGCCGGCGTGGATTGGCCGATCCGGAGGCTGAGGGTTGAAAAGGCGCTTCGCCCAGAAGCTGGGCGGCGACGGTAGATTGAGTGGAGAAGACACCACTTTACGGTGTATGCACGAGCGGTTGGAGGCGCATTCTCGAGAGCGGAGTCAATGAAGTCATGCTATGGTCTCCAAATTCCTCGGACTTCGAGAGAGGCTCTACGATGAAGGATCCGTTGGTTGTTGAATACCGGCCGCAGGAGCCGCTAGGGAACGAACAGATACCTACCTTGGGAAAAGCCATTCGCTTGCGCCAGGCATTTGTTAACTGAAAGCAGTCGGCGAACAACTGCAATGCCTTGAGGGTAGATTTCGGAGTAGGATTCCCCAAATCTCGGCGCTGGGATTCCATGATATCATGCCACTCTGCCATGCCCTCCCTGGGCGGAAGTCGGCACGCGCGAGGGCGTTGATTGGCTATTGAGGTAGTTGAGGTGACAGGGCCCCGAATATCATGACACAGAGATGAATGATGTATGAAACGTTCTCCGTTCGCGTGTGACTTTTGGTCGACAGGTGCAGTAATTCAATTGCCCCTGGCAGACAGACAGCCCGGAGCTTGTCGACATCAGACGGCGTGTTTGGATGGGATGGTGTGAAGTTTTTCTCGGAGAAGTTAGGCAAAGGTGCCACGACCGCCCTGAGCAATCCCTGAGCAGTCAGCAGTCAGCAATTATCCCCGTGCACGCTTGTCGTGTCTTGGTTGTAGTTACCTTGGGGAGTGTGGTAGTGTAGCCAAGGCTGATTGAAGGACGTATTGGGTCCGCCACCGCTCTGCCACCAAAGACGGACCGTTGGGATCGGATCGTGAGGTTTTTCGTTGCCTAGGCAGCGAAGAATGAAGAGGGCGGAGCAGCGACATTGCCCTCGTGGTAAAGTCTGGAAGCAGTCGGGCGATCATACATTGACCTAGTCGACGCGCGCAGTCGAGGGGTGAAATTCGCGCTGGCTATCCGGGCAAAAGAGAAGAAACAACCACGTCAATCGAGTTGGGGTGTAGGGACCTTGAAGGTAGGACGGCAGACCGGCAGCCTCGCGATTGGGTGCGACATGGAAAGTCAAGCCGTCGCATCGGTGTCGATTCTACTAGCATCGCGCCTTTTTTGAGGCCGGCCATGACCACGAGATCTTTATGAAATATTGGCTGCCCTGGTAGTAAGAATGCGGAATGTGTGCCGAAGTGAACAGTCAGCAAAATGTCTACATTACCTTAGTGCAAAGTAGCAGGGTAGGCAGAAAGAATTGAGGAAACATTTTGGTGTACCAGGAATGGAAGGAAGCTCGAGATGCGCATGGGCCACCCGCATATTGGAGTTTCGCGGGCAGTGCTCTCCACCATCGGGCACTTCTGCCCCGCATGGCTCCAGCGTTCTTTCCCTAGTGCTCGCATCCCTGCCCGTTCAACAGCCCACGGACACAGACGGGCGGGGCCAACCAACTGGAACATGGGGCAGGTAGGTACCTTCGATAGCTCCACCAACCTACCTCCTACCTTGAGGTTGCTCCTGCACTTTTGCACTTTCAATGAGGTGGTCGAGGTCCAAGGCAAAAAGGTACCAATGTACCTATCACATTGGTGATTCTTGACTCTTGAGGGAGGTGCTGCACGAGACCCCTGCACCACCCTTCGGCTCCTGTAGCTTCCTTTTCGCGGTCTGCGACTCTTCTCCTTCCCGTCCGCCTATCATTGCGCTTGCCGATAGCTCAGTGTCACCACCACCAGAAAGAACCCCCAAGAAACATGACCCCAAGAAGCCAGAAGTGACAGAGCTCCTGGGCACAAACACAGCCCACCCTGTTCCACGGAATGATTCGACCCTTGCTCTTAGACTCGCGTCTATGATCCCTTGGCCTTAGTGCAGTCCCCGGTCTTCATTCTCCCCTCGACACATCTCCATCTCGTACCTACCCCAGACCTCGTCTACTTAAGAACCTCGTGCCCCCATCCATCACCAGGTTTTGCCTTAGTTAGCACACATGGTTCAGTACTCAGAATTTACTCACGAAGCTTCTGAACATCTAGATACCCGTCCTCGACAAGCATCTTCTTCCAACACATCTGCACGACACCTTCTCCAAACCAACTCGTCCCGATCGCATTCGCCCACAATGAGCGCCCCGCAACACGAGAGCACTTCCACGGGCAAGGCCCGCGCCCCCGACTATGAGGAGCGCAGCGAGACCACGGCCAACGGTGGCGGTCTCAGTCTTGGCCAGGGCGGCTTCAAGCCTCACAACGAGATGACTGTTCAGCCCCCCACCAAGGAGGATCTCCAGCGCAGCTACGCCAGAGTTGTCGCCGAAGATGCCAACCCCAAGGGCTGGTACGGAACTATGAGTATGTCTTACAGCCGCCTCTCCTTGAAACCTGTCGCAAATCACTAACACGATATCACAGTCAACACCTTTGGTGCCTGCATTGGTACTCTTGGTGCCATCCCCTGCTGCATCGTCTGCCCGAACCCTTACAAGAACGTGAACCAGGGTAATGTCGGTCTGGTCACCAAGTTTGGCAAATTCTATAAGGCTGTCGACCCTGGTCTCGTCAAGGTCAACCCCATGAGCGAAAAGCTCATCCAGGTCGACGTCAAGATTCAAATGGCAGAGGTTCCCCAGCAAACTTGCATGACCAAGGACAACGTCACCCTGCACCTCACCTCTGTTATCTACTACCACATTGTCGCACCCCACCGAGCCGCCTTCGGTATCTCCAACGTGCGCCAGGCTCTCATGGAGCGAACCCAGACCACTCTTCGCCATGTCGTCGGTGCCCGCATTCTCCAGGATGTCATTGAGCGCAGGGAGGAGATTGCCCAGTCCATTGGCGAGATCATTGAGGATGTCGCTGCCGGATGGGGTGTCCAGGTCGAGAGCATGCTCATCAAGGATATTATCTTCAGCCAAGAGTTGCAGGAGTCGCTGTCCATGGCTGCCCAGAGCAAGCGTATTGGTGAGAGCAAGATTATTGCCGCCAAGGCAGAGGTACGCATCCGACACCCCTTAATGTTTGTATTCCATCACTAACACGACCTAGGTCGAATCTGCCAAGCTCATGCGCCAGGCTGCCGACATTCTGTCGTCTGCCCCAGCCATGCAGATCCGCTACCTCGAAGCTATGCAGGCGATGGCCAAGTCTTCCAACAGCAAGGTCATTTTCCTGCCTGGCCCTGGTCAGACCATGCCCAACATCCAGCAGTCGCTCAGCGGCACCAACCAGACGGGCGAGTCGAGCGGTGCCAACAACGGCACTGGCGACTTCAACGACTTTGGAGGTCAGGATTCCGGCTTCCAGCAAGCCATTAACTCTCGTGTCATCGAAAATATTTGAGTTCGCACCGAGTGCTGACTTGACGTCTCATGTGGGGGAATAGCTTGGTCACACTAAAGCCCATCCCTTTGCGGCTGTCACCAATTACGCATTGATTCTCTTGCTGCGACGTCAATACCCCCTTGCGCTTCACGATGCTTCCGACACGATTGATTTTTCAAATACCCCTTTGCGACAATTCTATACAACGAAATAGGAAAAACAGAAAGAAAAAAAAACATGTACTTGTAACACGCGGGAGAGATATGGGGTGAGGATGGACAGAGGCCTGCCCGGGAGATGATACCTCAGATCGGCAAGATCACGTTGGACGGGCTTTGCAGTATACCCATTTCATTCGCTTGAATTTGGTTCGGAGGACGTAATGATAATGGTACTGAAATTGAATACGAATTCCATCTTGATCTACTCTACTCTACCTTCTTCCGAATGACAACTTATGCATCCTTGTATATGGACTCCTGGAGCATACGCTTCATACTCAGCTTCAAGCCAGCGCTATCGCAATGAGTACTTGCAACGTATCAATTGGCACATCCGCAGGGTCAAGCTCGCAAGCAATTGAAGATGTCACCTGATGCCGCCTTGAGGATAAAGCGAAAACTTTTTGTCCTTGCCTTCCTCAAACCGAGAGAAAAAAGAAGGGTCATCAATAGGGAATCGAGCAAAAGGTCAGGTTGAGTGAGGCTCAAGGACTTTCGGGATGTTCCTTTGACTCCCCTTTAAACCCCTCGACCACGTTCCCCCGACCTCTTATAAAAGGATACAAGGTAACCAGGCCCAAGTAACTTACATATTGCAAGGGTGTACTCAAATAGAATAATCTTGAGATCCAACTTGGGGGCTTTATTATCGTATCAAAGGGTCTATCTAGCTCCTCTGTCTACTAACTTGTTGCTTCTAGTAAAGATCATAGAGAATTGAAAAAAAAGCTATTAACACTTCTAGTCTGATGTGAATGACATCGCATTGGAGACAAAGAAACATAGAAGGAATTCTGGAGGATACATCGCACCGAGGAGGAGCACCTCCGAAGTCGCCTTGCGCGGCATCCTCTACGAGGTGCTAGATGTATGCTTAGGCAGCCTTAGACCAATGCGTCAGTGCCGCCTTTTTATACCTTACCTTCTGTAACCATGAACGATTGATGGGGTGACAATCTGTTTTAAACGATAGTCTTGGGAGACAATGAGTACTTGGTGGAGAGGTTCTTTGTCACTGTAGGTAAGCTTTATCCGGCCTCCCTCCCAGAAATCTGTACGAAAAGCTTAATGACTGCTTGAGCAATCTCATACCAAGTTGTCAATAATGCCTTTACATACAGCTGTGAGCTCATCCTTCTATTATTGTGATAGGTTCAATATCTGCTAAGCCTAGGTATTATATCACTACTATACAATCTCAAATCAAAGAGATGCCTGAACTAGGAAACGTAGTATCCAAGCACACACCACTCACGCCTCCTTCCAGGGCAACGCAATCTCAACAGGCAACATATCCTTCTCCACCATCCCAACCAACTCCTTGGCCTCCAGTCCCTTAAAAGCACCCATAACTTCCTCATACCCAGCAGCACTCAACCCCTCCTTCCGATCGCAGTAGATATCAACACCCTCCTTAGTAAACACCGTCGGCGCAAACCACGTCACAGCCCACCTCTCCACCTCCCCTCCGCCACCTTCAATCCGCCGTTCCCCCCACCCCAGAACCTCCCAATGACTCCCCACAAAGAACAACCACCCCTTACCCCGCCAGTCCCAGACGGAGGTATCCCCGACCGCGCAGGCGGTATCGACGCCCTTTACGGATTTGACGGCCGAGGAAGGGTGCGGGGTCTTGTTGGACTCGTACTCGACGAGGTCATCTATGCGGGCTGTGCCGTCTGGTTTCGGGGCCATGGAGGCGTAGGAGATGCGGACGTTGCGGGCGTCGCGCCACATTGCGAGGGTGGAGTGGGTTACGGACCAGGTGCGGAGGAGCCATTCGAGGGGCGGGGCGGAAAAGGTTGATGTTGACGGGGTGGAGGAGGTTGTGTATTTTGAGGGGGAGCGAAGGTTTACTGTTGTCGGCGGGGATGTCATGATGCTCTGTGGATGTCGCAATGGATGGAAGAGGTGTTTGGGAGCTTGTGTGGAGCTGCGTGGGAGTGTCGATGTTGGTAGTCTTATTAGGGGGGATCCGGTAAGGACGTCGCGTTTTCGAGCTCGGGTATACGTGTGCGACTACGGTTCGGATAGGTGATTGATGTATTCGGGGTCTCTAAGAAAGAGGTTGTCGTCGAGAGAAGATTGGAATGAAGTTGAAAGACAAGCGCAAACCATGGCCCCAAGCTCCGAGATCCGCGCCAGGGGTGTGTCGCGTTTCAAATGATGTCAGCGGCCCGACGACTGAGACTCGAGCGTTTTCCCTCTCCTGTCTTCTCCAATTCTTCGTGTGTCTTTCCTGTCACAATGCTTTTGATTCGCAAATGAGCATTCCATTCTCATTTGCCCATCTTCTACAGCCGCCGATACCCGAAAATGTCGTCCGTCATTCTTTTATCGACGACATGCCATCTACTTCGTAAAGACCCCGAAAGTCTGGGACCCCCAAGTTATTGAGCTGTGCCCCCAGTCCCACGAGGCTGTAATTAAGCGGGCCAGTGCCGAACAAGGGTCTTAATTCCACCTTTTTTTTTTTTCCCTTTCCCTCTTTTCACAGAGAAATACCACGGTTCCTCCCGCGCCCACAGCTCCATTTCTATTCCATCGTTGCTCGATTGTTTTTTTTTTTTTCCCCTCCCCACATCGCCCGGAGCTGTTTCTTCCCTGCAGAAGTCGGCCCTGTCCATACGCAGTACATCCATACCTACAACCACCTCTTTTTAACGTCATCGCACCCTCACACAGCACCGTTCTAGCAACGCGCGATTCTACTCCGAAATCCCGCCCACTCCCACACCGCCTACAATGGACGAAGACGACGCCCTCGCAATCGACCCCGAAATGGCAGCCTTCATGGGCTTCGCCTCCTTCGGGACCCAACCCGCCGCCAAGAAGCGCAAATACAACCACCGCACCGACGCCGTCTCCTCCGCGACCGGCGCGAACCAGACCGCACTCGCCCCGCGCGCTCCACGCGCTGCTCCGTCGACGACTGAGACTGCTGCCGCGCCCGCCGCCAACACCGATGAGATTGCCCTCGACGATGACGACGAAGACGACGGAACCACTGCTGTCGCCGCCCATGCCGGCACTGTTGTCGGAGAAGACGCGGACGCAGAAGAAGGCGGCGCGAATCTTTATTCTGACCCGACCGTCGCCCCGGCGCTCGCCCACGCGCAAAGTCTGATAGACGAATTGACCAACAACGGCGGCGCAGCACCGGAAGACGGAACCTCGGCGCCGCAAGCGCAGTCAACAACCTCATCCCTCCCAACATCATCAGCACTACCCCAGCGGCCCGATGCGTCGTGGGGTAAGGAGATGGGCTCCGCTCCGACGACGATGCCGACGAGGGAACGTCCCGAGCAGCACCAGCACCAGCACCAGCGTGGAGGTCGTCAAGGGTACGGACAGCAACAGAGGAATGATGGCAAGCCTTGGTGGGATGGATACTATGACCCAGCGTCGAATGAGAATCCGTGGGAGAGGCTTGAGAAGAAAGCGGGAGTCCTGTCCAAGGGTACTTGGGTGGCGCGGGGAGCTCAAGCTCAGACGGCTTGACTGATGTTGATGGACTTCCAATGTTGTACCAGTTGCCATCTGAGAGGCATGGGGACCGTAATGTCGAGTCGATTGTGTGGTCAACATATATCGACATGCTTACCTCACCTCGCTTTGGACAGCTTCTCAACGGCGCAACTTGGCATATCGATATACGACTCACCGACTACCTCACCGACCCATGTCACGTGGTACCCCTGGCCGGCTGGAAACAGGGCAGGGAAAGATATTACGACCCATCCATCACATGATATATCACTGGACATATGAAGTCCCCCAGACTTGGCCAAGGCCTGGGGGATCTGTTACGGTGGCATTACGGAGGGTCAAGCATCACGACGGTGCTGTAACGGTGAACATATCGTGGACCAGCAGCCCGGCAAAGGACCGCCACGACCGAACAATAAGGGATTACGATATGACTATGGATCGACACGCCCTGTCGTCACTACAGAACCACCAAGGGGTCAAAGGAGCATGACCCACGCGAGCTCCCCGTCGTTATTCTTCCCGAAAGAGCAATATCCCACCGCCCCGAAAGGGACAAGCGCCTCCAACAGATGCCAACAATTTTGTACCTCACCTCACCTCACCTGGTCTCTTCCCTCCCGTCTCCACCGAGCCGTTCTACCGGCCTGAAGACCCTTCCAGCGGCTACTGCAGCCCCTAGGTTACTGGCCCTGGCCCCGTCGCTTTCAGAAGGAGGGGGTGAGGTGTACTTTTAACAACATAGCCACCCCAAATCATTTCCCATTCATCCAATCATGTCTCATAATCGTCTCGTGCAACAAAAACATCCCCCTCTCTCCCAAGGCAAAGGTCAAAAGAAGGTCGATCGGAACCCCACAACCCTGCGTCTGCCAGGCACATTTGCCAAATCCGGGGGAAAACTGGCTGGAGCATGTGTGTGAGTGGAGGTTTACCGGGCGCTTGGGAATGATGCTTCCCCATTCAACCCACTCTCACTCTCTCGACCCTGCTCCAGCTCGCAGCTCGCAGGTCCGCCGCCCTGCCCGTCGCAAAAGCAGCGTGAGATGGGCGGCTAGGCGGGCCCCCCATGCTCGCCCCGCGCCGTGCCGCTGCGCGTCAAGCCGTCCCGGCTGTCAGGTTCGCCTAGGGCCCCTGTCTCCTTTTCCCCTCCCTTGCCAGCCCAATATGTACCCCAGAAAAAAAATACTAAGTAAACAAGCGGAGATGGAGGGAGGCGTGCGCTCATCCAAAAAATGAAATAAAATGCAAAGTAAATCTCCGGGAATCTGGTATCTTCGTTCCTGCAGTTTTTTGTCGGCAGGGATGTGTGTATGTCGTGCGTTTTTGTGTGGTAGTAGTAAAATGGTGGTAGTGGATGTGGTGACGGCAGGCTGGAACTTTTTTCTTTGGTCGCAGTTGAAAATGGCACGCTAGAAAAACACAAGGCTGAAAAGGAGGAGAAGCTCGCTGCTTCCTTCAACGTCGTCGGTACCGCGCGGCTGAGAAGCTTTCGCAACTCAATCCGCAGCGAAACACGCAAAGGACCGAGAAATTCTCTAGTACTCGGGCGACGGGTAGCGAGCGCGGGCCTTGTTGTACTCCTTGGTGTGCTTGCGAGAAGTCTTGCTCTTGAGCGATCTGCACAAAAAAGAGGTCCGCGTGTTAGCCGCAATGTCTCAGATCTCGCAGATTTTAACCCCCCCCCCCCCCCCAAAGATTTCCTTTTCCGACGCCAATGTTGTAGTCGCAATGCAAACGGACCAGCAAACCGGTTTAGATATTTCCCCACTGGTTCGCGGGGAAACTTCTAGGATCGCGGTCCTGCAGATTTGTCTCTCTTTTCCTTTTTCTCGGAGACAAATTGATCGGGCGGCTCTTCTCGGAGTCCCGGGAAGAGGCAATGGGGGAAAAAAGGGTGCTACTTACGAGACTTTCTTCTGCGTCCACTCGAGGTCCGCGCGCACGTCCTGAGCGTCGCGGTAGCCCTCGTTGAAGCGCTCGCGCGTCTTTGCGAGACGAGCCTGTGCCTTCTTTTGCAGCTCCAGCAACTCACGGTGCTTTGCGTTGAGCTTTCCGGATCTAATTTTTGCATTTCTTCTCGTTAGCGTCTTGTTCCGTTTCGCTGCCGCATGGGGGATGCGCCACGCCGCATGCGAAAAGAGGAAACAACTTACGTTTGCGCCTGGACCGCAATATTGCGGTCGAGGGGGATGGGGTCAAAGGTCTGGGCGAAGCGGTCTTGCATGTAGTCGTTGAAGTCGACTCCGCTGGCCGAGTGGTGGGTGCTCTCGTAGTCGCCGCTGTTGCTTCCGGCGTAGCTGGAGTTGGCCACTGAGTAGCCACCAGAGTAGCCGCTGTTGCTGTATGATGGACCGGTGCCAGAGCTGACGGACTCATCTGTCTCTGGAGGCGATACTGAGTAGGTGCTGCTGTAGCTTGGGTAGTGTTGGCCCTTGTGAGAGGGGACTGGCAAGGGGAGGGTGTAGTGGGAGTTGTAGTGGGAAGACATGATGGCACGGGAAAAGGTGGAGGCCGGTAGTTGACGATAGAGGCGTGACGTGTACTTGTGTACGATGTGGGAACTTGTTTGAAGCAAACAAGGGATGACTAAGTCCAAGTGTCGACTGGAGATGGCGGCACTCTGTGAGACAAAGTAATTTGTGCAAGGAACTTGCTTGTTGGGCAAAGAAGTTGGCTTGGAGAAGCTATATGGAAGCTTCAAGATAGTCCAGAATCTGATGATGAGAAAGGAAGAAGAAGTGAATAAAACCAACCCGCTCAAGTTGTGCCCTTTTATACTTTTCCGAGACCCTCCTCGGACTCCATTTCTTCGTCTGTTTGAAAGGGGGATAAGACATCAAGTCTCGATTCGTCCGATGACAAGCCGTGGCTTCATCATTAACCGGGTCTCCTTCCGCGGAAGGGGGAACAGACGGAATGGTCCAAGGGCATGATGTGATGGGGTGATGAGAGAGAGAGAGCGGCCAAAAGGGTCGCAGACAACAAACGTCCACCATGGACATGGACATTGACATGGACCATGATGAGCGGCAGCCAGTCGACCTGCCTGGGCCTGGTCTAGCCTGTGCGTTAGTGACAGGGAAGTGGCATAGACTAAACCCTGTCTTCACCCGCAACGCTTGCTCGTGTGGATATATGGGCCGTGGAGAAAGAGAGGAGACAAAAGAAAAAAAAATGAGAGATATATCCAACGACGATGAGGCGTTTGGATGTTGAGGGTGTGGGCATTGGAAGGGGTGGCAGACGGACGACGGTGGTGGGAGGGTGATGAACGTAGCCATTGGCTAACCAGGGAGAAGCAGGGAAAGCAGAATGCTACTACGTCTGCACAAGAGGAAAGTAAAAAAAATAAAAATAAAAAAAGAGGGAAAAAAACACGGCAAGTATCAAAGGCAAGGAGATGGACTGAGAGGAAAGGAGCAAGAGGTGTCTGTATATGCCGAGGGAGGCGACTATCATGGGTGGGATTGGTGGAGATACACCACGATGAAGAGGATGGGGTGTGGGCAGCCCGGAACGGGTAATGGATCTGTCTCTTGGAGTCTGGAATATCCAGACGAAAGATGCCAAATACTTTGGTAGCCAGGGTCAATACTTACGAAGAATCGAAAGAAGAGAACTGTCCGATAAACTCAAGGGGGCACGGACTTGGCCGGCGTAGGTTGGCGAAGAGCATGCCAGGAGGGCAGAAAGGACAGGACAAGACAAGACAAGACATAGGAAAAAGAATGTATGTGGGTTCAGGCAAAGGGAAGAAAACGATGCATGTCGTGTAAAACGACGAACCAAGAGACATGCAGTTCCAGACATTGCCGAACCACCCACCTGATGGACAAGGGAGGTACAACCTCGAAAGTATTTCCGCACTACCTTACTCATTTTTACCGACTAGAGACAAGGATGGAATGGCTGCAACCTGCAACCTGCAACCTGCAAACCAGGGGCATGGGGCTCTGTGGGCAGGGACGGACGTCTACAGTCCATGTCCATAGCGTAGAGGCTTTCCTTCAACCTTGGGCTGCGTGGTTGCTTGGGGTGGTCCTCCCCCCTCCTCCTCCTCCCTCACTTCCGTCCACGCCCGTGCGGTGTCAAGAAGGATAGAAGGTGCTTTAGCTCCAAAAGGGGCCGAGGTGTGGGAAAGAAGGTGTGGGTGTAAGAGGTGTGTGTGTAGAGTCTAGGAGTGTAGAATCCGGAAGGCAAACAAGACGTTGGTCAAGGGCAGCTACACCCCTCCCCCCCGGAATCCAACGACGACGTCTCTTTCTGGCGGACAGGAAGGAACACACGCCATGGCCGTAGATGGGAGGTAAGAAAAGCGTATGACGGAGTGCCATGCGGGTCGTATGTATTTAATCGGCCCAGTCAGATGCAAGACGAACCGGCCTTTCAACCTTCCGGAGAGGGGCCACGGTATGGTTCTGATTCGTGACAGATGCGGTGTCCAGGAGGAGGAGGAGGGCGGTAAAATGGATACACGCCAGAGATGGAGACGAAGGCAACTTGGGGGTTGTGGAAGATGGACAGACGTCAGGACGATTAAGGAAAGCCGGGACTACGGGGGAAACGAGACGGGGCCCGCCGTTGATCGAAACTCTGATCCAACGAGCGTGCCGGGCTAACGAAGGCGAGGATGGGTTGGGATGAAAGGGGATAGGACAGGATAGGTGAATATCGAGAGCTAAGAAGTTTGGAGAGGGCAGGGCAGGGCGGGATGGTGAACAGGCCGGCAAGAGATTGGGAGACAAGAATGGAATGGGAATGTAACGGGGCAAAGCCCGGCCGGGGGTGAGGAAGAGGGGACACTTCTCCTCTTCCGTTTGCTGTTCGTTCGCAATTGCGAACGAACCTGGCGTTCCTCGAGGTATCTTCCAACCCGAGGTATATGGTCTTGATGTCGACGTCTTCAACGACACCACGACGCATAGTTCAGGCACGGCGGTACAATACAACGTATGGACAATGCGATACATGTACCGAGCATGCAAGCCAAGCAGCTTCTTGAGGACTGATGATTAAAAGCAGCGTGGGATTGTCCACTCCCACGCAGCTCGTGTCATCGTCTCGTTGGACTGTGGGAGCCACCTTCTTGATAGAATCGGGGACGGGGTGGACTGCGGGATAAAGAAATGCCCCCCCATGCTGATCGTTTCTCGGGCAGAAAAAGGTCCCCCCCAGCCAGAAGTATCTGTAGGTGCTACAGTCTCTTAAAACGGTGATGTTGCCGTTTAACAATGTGCGAATGCGACTGGACAATAGAATGTATTCTGTGATTTAGCCCTGGCATCAGGTCAGGCAGAAGTGCAGTAGATTCGGGCATTTTATGTGGCGATGCGTTGTCAAGATGGAAGCGCAGGATATATTATTTTTTTGGTTTAGTTATTCCATTTAATTGTTATTTTTATTTATTATCTTATTCTTCCCCCCCCCCTGCAAGTACCTTTTTTCCTTTTTCAAGTTCAACTTACTTTATTCCGGCTTTTTACCATTGGTCGGGACTTCTCGCCGCCCCCATTGGGCCTTTGAGAGTCTTTTTGCTCCCTCTCCCGAGTCTTCCCCTCTCAATCTCTCCCACACCGTCTACTTTTACCACTTCTGATTGACTCGAATCATTGTCATTTTTCAGAGTTTCGATTGGTGCAAAAGACGGACGACTTCCAGAATCTACCTGAACTGGGCAAATCGTCCAGGGCTCCGGCAGGGCTCATCTTGACCCCTGTAATCCCACCCTATGACCCTGGCACGCCCTGGCTCCGTCCAAGATGCACTCAAGATGCAGAGTCTACGGAGTAGAGACGTTTGACGGGGGGGTGAGAAGGCCAGCAAATGGTCGGCTTAATCGACGTGTTTTCACAATGTCCCATTGGCGATGAATGTTGAAAAGCGGCGCCGACTCTCGTTGGAAATTCGCCCCCGCCGAACCTCAATCACCGATGCGACGATTCCCTTTTCCCATCTCTCTACTCCGTATGTGTCGTTCTCTTTCTCCTCAAGGGTGGGGGAGTGAGTGCATCTCCAAAAGCCTACACTAGAGGGCCCCTCCCCATCATACGCAGGAGCAGCAGCAGCATGTATGTGAGGCATGTATGTATGCGCAAAGGCGGAGTTTTCTCTACGAGGTGCATCGCATGTGATCTCTGGAAACGAAATTGCGTTTCTTGAGAATACAAGGCCGTCTTCTTTGAGAAATGTATGTTGTGCTTTGCTTTGCTTGCGCTTGCGCGTTGAGAAGTGTAAGAACGCGGGCAACCTGGGCAGATCTTACATCCGCAGTTCCAAGAGCGGCGGTGTAAGTGAGTGGCCTCCCCCCCTCCCCTTCCCGAGTTTCCGTCGTCATCGTCAGCCGGCCCGGTAACGGTTGACAAAAGTTGGTTCCAGTTTGCACCCAAAGAGTAGAGTGAGTGAGTGAGTGAGTGAGAGTATCCGTACTAGTCGAGGCAGAGAGGCAGCCCAAAGTCGACCTTACACGCAAAGGTACCCAAGACCCCAAAACAGCCCAATCGAAAGGGACGCTTCCATCATCATCAACCCAACGACCACACAAAAGCCCTACACTTCTGTCTGCCTAATGTCATGAGTTGCAGAAGAACTTTGAAAGAGTGCAATCAAATGACGGCGCGCCCTTTTCCGATCTGATCTAGCGGCGCATTGGCTTCGCGTCACCCCATTCCCTGAGCATGCGTCTGCTTCTGTGGGCATCTTGTCGTTGTTGCTGCCCGTGTGCTACGATACGCTTTAAACTTAGATGGGTCAAACATTGATGATTTTTTGTTTGATTTTTTTTTTTCGGGTGGTTATTTAGGAATCGGCAAACTGGGTTCCATGTACCGGGGGGTGGAACCTCAAATGCAACGATGATGATGAGCATGGCAAGGCAGCCAACGAGGCATTCCTATTTACCTGGCTACATGATACACAGGATACCTGTTTTCAACCCGTTGGTATCCAAGTATCACTCAGGTATTCAGCAACCCCCGACGTGAAGTCGCTCTCACTCGCCTCCCGTGTGAGTGGGATCGTCAGGTTGAAGACATGTAATGCCATACATACGGCGTGCCGCAGGGGGGGCTTGATGCGGGCGTGACAGACAAACGACCACTGCTCACTGACTCCTGAGTGATCAATTCAGTCTGGTTCCATGAACCCGCTCAACGCAACGGGGTTTGCCTTGATCCATGGCATGACCAACTGTCCCCCCCCCCCGCCCTCCCAATCTCAAAACCCACGGTTCGCCGGGTTGCCTCTTCGTCCCTCCTCGATACCGGCAAGGACCCGAGATGCCCCACGCAAGGTGTCCCCCGGATGACGAACGGCGTTCTGGAATACCCCGAGCGGTGGTTTGTGAATGGAGGGGGATACGGGACTGCATGAGAAAGAAGCCCCGGGATCACCCCAGCAGCCATCTGACGTTTGAACTTACCGCATGGCAGATGGGGAAAAAAAAAGAAAGAAAAACCGTAGCATACTGGCGCGCAAGCAGAAATTTTCTCTGGTCTAAAGGCTAGAGGACGAAGGGAGGTCCATGGCCTGCCCGGGTCTCTAGCCGGAGCCGGATAGGAGGTCCAGGAATTTTCTTGGTGCGGGAATGTCAATGGGGGGAGGGGGGAAGGAGGGGGAGGGGCAATGAATGGATGAATGGCTTGTCTCTCTATCTGCACGCACTCCAACGGCACTCACCTCCAGACAGGCACACCTTTAGACACTTTGCTCGCCAAAATACCAAGAGAGAAGTCGGCACGTCCTCGACGACGACCATTCTCGAACTCGACTAGCCGGCTAGTGTTGCAGTAGGGACTTTGAGTGACAGTCATGGCGCCAATAGTCACGTTGGGGCGGTAGTCGCAAAGGTTAAGGTGATGGATGAGCTATCCAGGCAAGGTAGTGTACCCCAGTCCCTCCAGCAGGCCAGCAAGGGTCAGGAAATGTGAGGTATCGCCCATAGGTCGAGATCTCATCTGGTGATGGACACGGGGCCTTGGGGTTTGCATGGGGAAAGCTGCGCAGTGGGAGAGTGTAAGAGAGCCAATGCTTCGGTTGTGAGGCTCGAACCCCCCTCCCATCTGGTGTACGCCACCAAGAATGAATGTGAGTGAATCGGAAGATGAGCCGCAGGCACTGACCACCGAGTGAATTCCCGTGGCTTGTCACTCCGATTCCGAGCTTCCGTTCGGGGATGGGCGAGATGTTTTACGATGTACTCACTTGCGTGTCTTGACGGGCGTGGAGTGAAGTGAGGGTTGAGGTGTGAGGTGTGAGACTGAGAAGAATCTCACTGAGAATTGTGAGATGAGACTGAGCGGTGACGACCGCTGATCTGATGCGTGAAACGAAAAAACGGTCTGTGCCACGGAAAACGTGCCCACCAAACCTTCTTTTTTTTTCTTTCTCTTTTTCTTAAACTATCTGCGCTTTTAGACCTCTCGATTCTTCCCTTCGAACTTTTTGAGACTTCTCAAACTCCCGCAGTTGCGAAGAAAATGGGGTGACATTGTAAACCTGGAAAGTTGAACACGGGACTCCGAACCAACACCGCAATCGCCGGTGCCCCTGCTCCTCTTACAACAATGGATAAGTATGGATATGTCATGTTCCGGGGGGCGGCCACATGGGAATAGGGTATCTCAAAAGAGACACCCGACGGGGGCTGGTGGGACAGCCACACGCAACATCGCACATCTCGCCTGCTCACCTATCCGAGACCATCATTGGCTTTTTTTTTTTTTTTTTTTTTTTTTTTTTTTTTTTTGCGTGGTCTGCCCTTCCCAATGCTGCACGGTAACATGCCATGGCATGAACCGGGAAACGTGAGGAGCGGAGATGCAGATGCAGTCAAACAGGGCTGCGTGATGATGGGGCACCACCTTACTGGATAACGAGATTTTGAGGACTCGAAGGAAAAGGCGAGCTGGGCCACTCACCAACCAACCAACCCTTTCTTCGATCGCCCTTCAGTTTTGTCTGGTCAATGTTTCTTGGAGATTGTCGACGTTACATTGTTGTTGTATCTCCCCAATCCCCCAATCCCCCCATGTCACTACTCACTCGCCTCCCATCGACGCCATCCGCGAGCCATCGCCCATCCTGCAGATACACTCGCATGCCCCTCTGCATCTCCCAACTCTCACGCTTTTCTGACCGTCAGCCATGGGCAAACTCTCTAACCACATCGTTCATCCTCGGCCAAGCCAAGATTTCTTCTCTGCCATAGAAAGATCTTCAAGCCTCATACGCACAACGTAAGTGTGAGAGTGCAGAATACCGCCACGCACAACGCCTTCTGTATGTAAGGTGAGGCGACATGAGAACGAGGATGAGGAAGGAAGGGGAAGCACAGCGCAGCGGCACTGCAGTCTCGCGTGGTTTCTGTATCCTGCACGGATCGACCGTCGTGTAAGGTCAGTCTATATTCAGCCGACGGTTGAAAAAAGAAAAAAAGTTGGTGTGTGAAGTGTGGTGTGTTTCCTCCAAGCCGCTTGTATTCGCGCAAATTCTCACGGATACACATATGCGCACACAACACGCCTAAAGCTCGCTCTCGTGTCGTGTCGCCCGTCAATCCCGCCTCGTATATTCTCCTACTTTTGTAGAACTCGACTTGAAAAAGACCACGCTGCTTATATGCTGTACTCATCCTACCTCGGACAATATACCAATGGCTGACACCTAAAGATGGACCAACTCGGTGAGGATGACAAGGCAAGGCAAAACCACAAGCACTCGTGAACGAAAGATCCGAAAGCTGCACGACTTTGCCCAGCCCACGCAGTCGCCCGCGTCAAACAGGCGAGACCGTCAGCCCAGTCTTCACTCAGCCCCGATTCCGACACGTAGCATTTGGTGATGATGATGTAGTGTTCTTTGCTGGTGATGATTTTGCCCGCAGTGTGACGACAGCGCGATGTGACAATGATCACAAAACTCACATCTCATACTCATCTTCAAGAGATAGGGCTAATCTCACACAGACCACTCACTGCTTTTTGCGACGTCAAACTGGAAGGCCAAGACGCAAAGGTCAAACTCACAAGTCGCACCAAGAGGTCGATCCTTCTGTGCCATTTTCCACCACGACGCTAAGGCAGTGT